GGATCTAAAGGTAGGTGCTGGTGTGTATGGGACTAAAAGTTCAGAAATATAACAAGGCGAGAGGCCATGAAGAGCTTTAAAAGTGATCAATAGAATTTTAAAGTCAATTCTAAAACATACTGGGAGCCAGTGTAATGAAATTAAAATAGGAGTAATGTGGTCATATTTCTTTGTTCTGGTTAAAAGCCTGGCAGCTGAGTTCTGGACAGTCTGGAGTCGATCAGTAGATTTTTGGGTTAAACAAGTGAAAAGGCTGTTGCAATAATCCAGGCGTGATGAGATGAAGGCGTGTAAAATGGTCTCGGTGTCCTTAAAAGTTAACATAGATCGAATTTTTGCTATATTTCTAAGTTGATAAAAACATGATTGAACAAGCTTTGTGGTGTGCTGCTCAAAATTTTAATTACTATCAAACCAGACACAAGGTTCTTTGCAACAGGCTTAATGTGATTTACTAGGGAACCAGCAGATGGCAGTATTTGTTTTGCCATCTGCTGGGACCCAATGACCAGGATTTCTGTTTTGTCTGAGTTCAGCTGGAGGAAATTATTTGACATCCATTTTTTATCTTCACAAAGGCAGTTGTTAAGTGAACTCAGCATTCCAGGGTTTGTGGATCTGACGGGCAAGTATATTTGTGTGTCATCAGCATAAATATGAAAAGAAATACCATGTTTATGGATAATATGTCCAAGGGGAAGCAGATACAAGGAAAACAAAATGGGTCTTAAGACCGACCCCTGAGGCACACCATATTTAACTGGACAGAATGAAGAGACATAATTGTTTACAGACACGCAAAACTTCCTATTTGACAGGTAGGATGAAAACCATTCTAGGGCAGTACCAGAGATCCCCACCCAGTGCCTCAGTCTGTCTAACATGATGTTGTGATCAATGGTGTCAAAAGCAGTGCTAAGGTCCAGGAGTACCAGGACTGAGCACATGCCTTCATCAGCAGACATTAAAAGGTCATTGGTGACTTTAAGCAGGGCAGTCTCAGTGCTGTGGTACTTCCTGAAACCAGATTGAAACTTTTCAAATATTTTGTTATTTTCCAGCACAGTGAGCAGCTGTTTGGACACAATTCTTTCTAGAATCTTTGCAATAAAAGGCAGTTTTGAAATTGGTCTAAGATTTTGTGGGAGGGAGGGATCTAAACCAGGTTTCTTTAAAAGCGGGTTCACGGAAGCCGTTTTAAAATAATCAGGGACACAACCAGTAGATAGGAGCTGTTGAAAACAGAGATCAAATGTGGCCCAACAGAATCTATTACTTTCAGTAAAAACTTTGTAGGTATTACATCAAGTGGGTTGGAAGGACACTCTCATTTGTGATACTGTTTTAAAACTGGTTAAAACTCTCTTGTTGCTGGTGAAGGACCTCTGAGTAAGAGGCCGCGGGGGTAATAGAGGCTCTGATTGACACCACCTTATTGGTAAAATAAGATAAAAACAATTCACAGTCATCATTACTTCCAGCTGAGGCACAAGGAGGGGTTGTAGTTAATTAATAAATCCTTCAGACTGAGGTAATGGACTTGGAGACTGGATTTTTTCCATCTGCGCTCTGCTTTCCTGCATTCCCTTTTTCATTTATCCAGGGTTGCTTACTAGCTTTAGACGTAGGCCTAACCTTTAGAGGAGCAGTAATATTTAGTGACAACAAGCAGATATGATTGAAGTGATCGACCAGATTGTTGGTGTTGGAATCAGACAGGTGTTGGCTTTGGCTCTGAAAGAATGCGCAAACTTTGAAACACTTCAACAAATCATTAAAGATGCGAGAACACACGGAGCTTGGTGAGGCGGCATGAGTGGCGAATCGCAGCTAAAAAAAATATATCTGTGGTCTTTTTTAATTCTTCTAAATTAACTTTTAAATTCTTCCCTCTCATGGAGAAAAGAAAGGTCAGGTTACAAACACAGCCGCAGCTGTTGTGTGATGCATAATTGTAGCAAACTGGCTACATATCATAATAATATAATAAGACAAACATGCTGCAACTATTACTTATTCAGCAGTAAGAATCACACTGCACTTTTCACAGTGAGGTATGAGTACTTTTACCTCAGTAAAGGATCCAAATACTTCCTCCAACACTGTTGTAGATAATAAATAAATAAATAAAGTTTTCTGTCATCCATCTCTTCGGGAGTTTGGTGGAAACTGAAGTGGCGTATTCTGCTAAATCAACCAAGTGGGGTTATCTACGCTTCACGTATCACCAGGTGACCTTGCTGTGTCTTGGGTCATCACCTGCAGGGTTTTCCATTGGTTGGTTGACAGGCAAATCATTTTAAACTGAGAATTTAACTTTATATTAACTTTTATATTTCATATTTTGTGCTCACTGCACACCTTTGTTACACCTCAAACTTGTAGAATTCATCAAAGTCAAATATGGTACATTTGAATAGTAAGTGGATATCATTGATTGGAGTACTTGTGAAAATAATTGACTACATGTTTCTATAATTGCACAAATAGAATTTGGAATGACATATGTGATATTGTGAAAATTGCACCACAATCACACTTTTATTTACTTGACAGTACCTGTAAGATACTGACCAGCATGTTAGCGCTACTGCCTACTCTGATGAGGCCTGGCTGGGCCATGCCTCTCTGGCCAGCAGGGGCTGAGGTCCTGGGGCCCAACAGCAGAGGAGGGGGTCCTGAGCCTGAGCCTGAACCTCCAGAGGCAGCCATCTGCTGCTGCTGCTGCTGCTGCTGGCGGAGAGCCTGGATCTGCTGTGGAGATACAGAGATGGGCTAACCAGGACAATGGAGGGATTACACGGAGGGACATCACAGACAAAGGTAGTGGAGGACAAGGGAGGGACATCAAAAGTACCAAGGCAAAGGGCACACACAAAGAGAAAGGCACAAAGAGAGATCATAAGTCCTAAGTTTAAGTGTTATTATTTCCCTGCAGTTTGTCTCAGGAGAGTGAAAAACATCAGTGAGAATGAACAACCCAGGCTATCTTTGTCCTGGCAAAGGCAATATTTAAAAGTATACAATTTAAATATCTTAATAATTTTGTTAACACTCCCCATGACTCACCTGTGCCCCTCTGACTAGAGGCGGCATTATGATTTGGGAGCCATGTTTGGACGACACCTGCTGCCCTCCTCTCACCAGTGGCGGAGGGATGACTGTGCCTGAACTCCTGCCTGTCACAATCTGGCCAGAGAAAAAACATCATCAGAAACTGTATGAACTACAATATGAAGGCGCTGTCAAACAGATGTATGGCTGACTGCATGTGTGATAGTAGAGCATTCACCTGCTGAGAGCCTTTATTGCTTGCAATTGTTCCTCGAATTAGAGGAGGAGGAGCAGAGGAGCTGGACAGACCTGAGGGCTGAAAAAGAAATGGAAAAAAATATTAAACAACAAACAGAACGCTTGAAGTGGAAGCCTGTTTTGTCGGAATGTGTGACCCTGTGCTGATGTGGGTAATAACCATTTACCTTCTGGAGAGTGTCCCTCTGTATCTGGCTTTGCCGAAGTTTCTTCAACAGCACCAGCTTGGCCTCTTCCAGTCTCAGCTCCTCCTTCAGCTGCTTAATGATGCGCTCCCTCTCAGCTGGGCTGCTCTTCTATACTCGAGAGATCATAACATCACTTACACCACTCGCAATAGAAAACACACAAAAACCCTTTCCAGGAACTGGAACATTCGATGTTGTGTGTCCACTAAGAGGGGGATATTGAACCCTAATCTGCTCACTCATTTTCAGTTAATCTGAAATGCCTACAACAGTCTAACGTAATAGGTAACTTCAGTATTTTTTAGGGCTGCAGCTAACGATGATTTTAGTACTCGAAGCTTCTATAGATTATTTCGTCAATGCGTCGTTTAAGAAGTAATGTTGCTTGGCGCCCGCCACCCCGGTAACGGATCAGCTGTGTACGTTGGCATAACACCGGGTGCTTTCTGATCAGGTGCCGTCGCGGTAACGTTAGGCGGCGTAAGTTTCGTTTTACGGTGGACGGACTGTAACATTACAGAGTTGTTTTCTTTTAGCTTGAAATAATACCATACTTTGAACACTTTCTTCTTCGTCCCTCACTATTTTCTTTCTCTCCCTCCACTTTGCAAACAGCGCCATCATAATCATGTCGTGTTAACACAGGTAAGCGTGATGTGCGACAGTAATAAATGTCAGTGTGAAACAGTGTGCTATATAGTTTAGATTAAACTAAGCCTTGATGCAAAGAATTTGCGTCGATTCATTTTAGTAATCAAATTAATTGATTTAATCGATGAATCGTTTCAGCCCTAGTATTTTTCAACCTGGACCTTATTTTCTCATGTTTTTGTGTCTATGTGACTAATAGGGACAACATTTTTTGAAAATAGTCCAGTATTGAGCGAACACGCTACAGCATCAGCAAAACAAAGCTGCAACGTAATCCTTGTGGGCAATTGCTTCCTGTCATAATACGTCCAATAAAGTGCCTGCTTTTGCAACTGACAGGCTTAGATTGTTATTATAAACATACATGATACTAGCAGGTGGTATAGGTGCATCACAAGCTGGACCTTTAGATCAGTTTCACTTTAAGGACACTTTTAAAAACAGTTTCTGCTGAAAAGCGCTCCTAATTTCATTGTATATTTTGTACAATGACAATAAAGGTTTTCTGTCTGTTTAAATGTCTGACAATATTGTGGAAAGGATCCCTACAGAGATAGACCTCTTTTAAAGAGTAAGATCCTTTTGGTTTAGCCAGAAACCGCTGTATCACTCTTGTTAAGCCACCATTGATTAAAACTGTAATTTTACCTCACAGAACACATGAGTTCCCTTGGTCGGTTAGCTTGTTTGTGTTATTGTGTGACTTTGTTGTTGTTGTTGTTGTTGTTGTTTGTTTGTATTTTTGTGCAACTTTGGTGTTTTCACTGATACCAAAGTCACACATCCAAGGAAGGTTAAAATCAAGGACAACTGGACTTGGTGGAAGATACTTGAAGACATTTTGTTTCTCATCCGAGAGACTTCTTTAGTTCTGAAGTCTCTTGGATGAGACAAAGTCCAGTTGCCCTTGATTTTAACCTTCTTTGGATAACTATGACCTGTGCCCCGTTTCAGAAAGCAGGATTAGTGAAAATTCAGAATATGTTGAGCCTGAGATGAGGGAACATCTGGGTTTTCTGTTTCAGAGAGCGAGATCAGATAATCCCTAGATCAGTAACTCCGGAAACTGATGCTGTGAACAGGATAAGTTGGAAAACCGTCAGTTTCTCTCTAACTCCTCTCCCCTGCGGAGCCTGAGGCGGCTGTCTGACACACAGTTTCATTTCCTCATTCATACTGTCGATATAAAAGCACATATCTGAACGCATTTACATTTTTAAAAACTTTAAAATCCTGGTTAGATAAGCTATTAGTTGAACATGATCTTGAACATGACCGCTTTATGATCAATCTGTCGTCAACATAAGGACAGATCTCCACACACGACTCTGTGGACAGTTGCACTGAAAACACTTACTGTGGGCTACTGCAGTAATCACTATTTAATATGTAACCAATAAAACTGATCAATAAACATGTTCATTAATTACTGCAGTAGGCCTAATCTTTCATATTAGTCGCACTGATTGGAACATTCCTATCGTAGGGTAAAGTGGGGTAAGACGCCCACCCTAAGCTCGATGTCTATTTGCTGACACATAAAATAATATTTTACAGTTTTTTTATATCTTGGAGATGGCCATGCTTAGGGTAACATAATATAAAGTTAAATAAATACCTACAGTTGAGAAATTAATTTGAATTTAATCAAATGTAAATTTTAGGAGAAAGGCATTTTTCCCAGCTAATGGGGTAAGATGCCCCCGCTAAGATTAATGTCTATTTTCTGACACATTAAAGAACATTTTATTGATTTTGTTTTGTACCTTTAAGAAGGCTATGCTTTGGGTAACATATTATAAAATAAAATAAATAGCTACAGTTGACAAATTAATTTGTATTTAATCAAATGTATTTTTTAGGGAAAAGGCATTTTCCACATGGGGTAAGATGCCAAACGATCAACCCTAACCGGGCACGGCACCCGGGGGGGCGTCTTATCCCACTGGAGGGGGGGCATCTTACCCCAAACATACTAATCTAGCATTTTACTACTTTAACCAAAAAATCTTTCACTCTAAACAATTACATAACTTATCTTAAGGCTCCCCTTAATGTAAATATATATATATATATATATATATATATATATATATATATATATATATATATATATATATATATATATATATAAATTTGATCAAATTAGGTCAGAATGGCGTTGATCAAATAATTAAAAAAATTGTGTTGAAACAAGAGGAAATTTTTAGTTCAGTGAGACTAGGGGCAACCAGAAGAAATGTTGAGAAAAACAAACTGTGGCATTTTATGTTTTTTGTTAGAATTACCATGGGGAGGCGTCTTACCCCACTTAGTTGTCAACTGGAGATGGGCTAATGTGACTATTACTGAGTGAGGATGACTGTGGTGCAGCTGAAACAAATAGGCCTAAATAAGGTTTAAAAGTGAGTTTTAGGCCTACCTGCTGATAGTCTGAATTTGTTTTGATAACATTAATAAAATACAAAATGAGAAAGATTTCATTAATGTAAAATAGACATCTAAAACTTTAAACCTATAGACACATTTTCTACTGCATAAAAATAATTAATAGGCTAACCTGCTGGTTGTGACTGTGACTTTACAATCACAGGTTCACGAGTAAACCGTGTCTTATATTTGATCTATAGCCTACCTATATTCATAATCATGTAGGCAATTGCCACCGGCATTTTGTCCCGTTACAGCTTAATAAATATAGCCTTCCTATTTAATTTAATTCGAATGTAATGGGCTGTAGCACTTTATCATTCATTAAAGAAATTTCAGTCTGGTAAATGGTGAATTAGCAACACTATATAAAATGTAATATTGTTAACGTATCAATCCTTCTTCCAATCTTGTGTTTTAGAGCCTTTCATGGTCCGCGAGGCTCTGCCTTAATTTACCCCTTGCCATGGTGAATCGTAGTAACGGAGCTCCATTGATGATGGCTTTTTTTCATCCCCACGCACGCACTTCCATCAGGCTCAACATACTCAGTGTTGATTGAACTTATTCTGATCAGCTGTTCTGGAACCGAAAATTCAGAGTTTGCCACCTCAGGCTCAATCAACTCAAAGCTCAGGGATAAGCTCAGAGTTTGTTATGCCTGCTTTCTAAAACAGGGCCCTGGATGACTGAGAACCTTCACAGACAAAGTCACACAATAATACAAACTAACCTATCGAGGTAGCGGTAGACCAGAGAGGTAAAATGACTATTTTTGTAAAGGGAGTCTGGTGGCTTTGACGGGAGCGATATAGCGACTGTTTCTGGTTTAACAAAAAGGATCTTACTCTATATTCTCTTACTATCTTTAAAAAGGTCTTTGTAGGGATCATTTCCATAATGTTTTCAGACATTAAACCAACTTGCCCTGTCCACATTTTAAAAATCTCTAAAAGCTAATACACAAGGCCTAGGTTATGATGTAAACCTGTCTCAGGATCCGTTTCAGTAGCAGCAGGAAATGGACTTCTAGCTTTGTGTAGGTGTGTCTCACCATGAGCAGGTCTGTGTCCAGCTCCTTAAAGTGGCTGAAGCCATTCATCGGTGGACTGGGGGAGTCGTTATCTGACAATATGATGACGTCGTCATCTTCAGGGGACGGAGGGCGCTTCTCCCTTTTTATAATACTGGACATAAGTGGGACAATAACATTTCAGTATTCTGGCTATGAATTAAACCAAGCACTAATAAAACAAATGGTTAAAAAGTTTTTTAATCCGTTTCATAATCCACTTTTATTTACTCATAAGTAGATTTAAGCTTGTCAAATCATCTGGTTCCACACTATCTGAGAGTATCATAAATATTCGGTATCAGCTTGTTCCAGCTTGTTACTGAAGCTTTATGATGTGAAATATCCAAACCAGGACTTCATGTTTGACATATTTGCTAATTTGAACACACTGGGATCACCACTAGAATTTAAAATAATGTTATTTGAGTTTAAACAATGTTTAGCTGCAAAGTATGAGTTTGTTTGACTCATCCAGTAGGGTTGAGGTTAAGAATATTCTTATGGCTGTTGAGTATTCCTCCACTGGCTAAAATATTTGCCGCCATTTGTAATGTCTGTATTCATGGAGCTCTGCTCCTAAATCAGAATTATAATTTATGACTGTGGGTTGATCAGCCTCACTATAATCAAACAAGTCCAGGCATCTCTCCACACAGCTTCTCTTCATGTTGATGATATTCCAACAACAGAACAGTCCTAAATGTCAAAGAGGGACAATGTGGGTCTTAAAGCTCCAGCAAAGGTTAAAGTCACAATGCAATGGCTGTTTGAGAGCACGTATTTCCTGTTGAAACAGGATATTATGGCAGGGCATACTAGGCGTCTGAAGCACGGCCTGTATTGGGCTACAAACGTCATTAAAAGCATGCCAAGGGAATTAAAGCATGTCTTGGATCAACCCTCACTTCTGTCTAGAAAAATCACATGATTATGCACACATATAACTTTTTCTGCAAAGTGACTGGTTCAACTGCGGGCTATACATGAGAGTGGAGACCTAAATTCTTTGACTAGTAGCACTTAAAAAACTGAAGAACATGAGTAACGCTCCTCTAGAAAACTAGGATGGGCTTGTGATTACACAGATTATGTTTTACTATGGAGCATATGAAGTCGATAAAGTCAAGGCAGGACAACGTGAAGCTTGTCTCTCCAAGCCATCCTCCTTGTGTGTGTGTGTGTGTGTGTGTGTGTGTGTGTGTGTGTATGTGTGTATATTAGTCTCTCCTCAGGGCTTAGCGCCATCATCACTTCCTGTGGATTAATCACTACTCTTCCAAAGAAGTCACATGATATCAAAGTCATCATCACGTGACACACTCACTTTTCCTCCCACCCTTCCCCCCCTCCCCTCACCGTTCTTCCACTGTGGAAACCATGGCAACAACCGGCTGGAACTGGTTTGTGACACACGGCTTCATTTTGTGCGAGGGGAGTTTTTAGGGTTCAGGTGGTGAGTGGGGGGAAAATGGAGGTAGACTAAAAGTTCACCTCTGTGAGGACAACATTCCCCCACTGTCATCTCTCTTACACAGTAAGTTAAAAGAACAACAGGATCATAAAAGTAACTTTAAACATTTGGAGTCCTTTTTTTAGATTCAAATAGTATCCTTTATCCTTTTTTACACTGATAAGTGTTTTTTTTCTAAACCTGCAATCTTTCAGAGAAACCAGGTAACTTTTCTGCACATTCACACAATTATATCTTTGGCGGGTACTCTGTGTGGTTTTTACAGTGGCAGAGAGTTTACTTTAAACTACAACTATAAATGTTTCTCACCCTCTGGAGGTACTCATGTCCACGGGCTGTTCTCCCGTTTGAACTTCAACTTTAATGGTGGCCTTCACCTCGCCTGCAGCCAGCAGACCACTGGACGGCTTAGGCTCCGTCAGTCGTACCCGGCTCCTTGTATCTATGGCTGGCTCTGTCTTCACCCTCCTGGCTCTGTCATTGCAGTCAGTTCGATTGTCTGAGCTGGGTTCAACCGTCTGTTGTCTGTGGTTCCGCTCCTGTTCATCCTGCACTGGCTGGGAGGCCAAAGGTAACACTAAAGATAATGCCAAGCGACTCTGCTCTTTCCCGTGCGCTGATCCGTCCCCTGTCCGGCTCTGACTGTCCTGTTCCAAGACAGGGTCAGGTGTGGGTTTAGTTTGTGTCTCTGTTGTGGATTCAGATGGGTCCAATTTAGGCTTTTTGCTTTCATTGTCAGCATCAGTGGGTTCTCTAGACTGGGGAGCAGCATCCCTTTCCAACGCCCTCTTCTGGCTGCGTGTCTGGCGGACAGCCTCCTCAGACATCCCCTGCAGATGAAGTAAGAAATAACTGTTGTTATATACAGAATCAAAGTTACAGGTTAAGTCCCACAAGATACAGACTTTCATTATTAAAGCCTTCTACACAGAGTCTTGTCACATTTCATCACAACATCCAAGCATCTAACTCAGACAAGAGTTAAATAAATACAAATAAACAATTTTGGTGATGAGCTTTTATAAGTTATCTGCTAGAACGAGCAAAAAGAAATCACAGCTAGAAGGTTTTCATACCGCTTATCTGTCTTTACATTCTGAGTAATGTTGAAATGTTTTAAATTAAATAAAGAGAAAGCTGTGTGTGTCACATTGAACATTACGTCGCGGCAGTTGTGTGTGGCGTTGCTATGACGACCAGCTACACTGACGGGTACTATCTCTGGGTACTATCTGCAATGGAAAACGGAGCACGGCCAAACCGAGTCGAGGCGAGGCGAAGCAAGTTGAGCTGGTACTGGTAATGGACATCAATAGATACAAACTGGTGAGGACAGGGTACAAGATACATTTATTTGTCATATTACAACAGGGTTGTAAAATAAGATGCACTTCCTTTCCTTTTATACTACAAAGCAAACATTATATACAAAATGAAATCAGATAAAAAATAAACTATTTTGTAACTATTTTGTAACTTGGGGGAAGAAGCCGCTCTGTAGTCTGGTGGCAAGACAGCAGATACTTCTGTATCTTTTGCCAGACAGCAGCAGCAACCTCCTAGGAGCACCTTTAATGTGTCAAAACCCAATGATTACATTATCATTTTCTATTTTAAGTCCTGAAAGTAGTTAAAATCTGAAGAGTCAGATGAAAGTAGCTGAAATGTCAGTCATCTATAACCAAGTGTGGAGTACTGGGGTAGGATTATTAGGTATTATTAAATGGTTTGTTCCCATATTGTTTAGAGCTAGATAGGTAAATTGTGAGCAACATGGTCAACACATCACCAGAGGTCTATTCATTTAGCCCTCAGCAACTGAGGAACCTTGTTCTAACTGGGACAACCTTTTTTGAAGTTGGTCTAGTGCTAAGCAAGCGCTCTGCAGTCAACAGCAGTGAAACAGGGCTGCAAGGCAAGGCAAGTTTATTTGTATAGCACATTTCAACAATAAGGTAATTCAAAGTGCTTTACATAAAACATACAAGCAACAGGGAAATATAAAAAAGTTTAAAAGCAACATAAAATATAATAAAAGTTACAGTGTTACAATCGGGGTTAAAAGAGTTAAATGGAAAATAAAAACAGGTTGAGGGGTTGAGCAAATAATTGAGTTACAATTATTCTGAAAAAAGAATAAACAGAGAAGTACACTTAATCCACTTTCTCTAGCTAGTCTGTACTTGGATCCACAGCAATCTTTGGGTCCACTGAAACTCCAAAAACCCTCAGACACAACAGAGAAACCAGGACATGTCTGTCAGCAGGCCACTTTGATCCAGTTATACTCTAGACCCACCTGCGCGTTTACAGGTGGACAGAGGTTCCTGCAAATCACTCGGGCGCGAGATTTAAGACCACTTCCTTCAATCTCACTCCCATAATCCCCCAACTCAATTACCTACTCATTTCTCACTGTGTAAATATTAATTAAAAGCAACGTAATCCTTGTGCCCCCATCACAAAACTGCTTGTTTTTGCCAGTGACAGACTCAGATTGTGAATTGTCAGAAGTGTCTGACAACATTACCGACAGGATCCCTACAGAAAGACACCTTTTTTTGAAGAGTAAGATCCTTTTTTTATTTAACCAGAAACAGTCGCTATATTACTCTTGTCAAAGCCACCAGATTCCATTGACAAAAACAATAATTTTATATTGAGGAACACGAAAGTTGCTGGTCTTACACTGCCATGTTCAGTAAGTTTGAGTTATTGTGTGACTTTGATTTTTTAAAGGGTTAAAAACACGAAAGTCACACAATAACACAAACAAAATATCTGATGGAGGCAAGGGAGTCTGGTGGCTTTGACAAGGGCGATTTTGCGACTGTTTCTTGTTAAACAAGGAGGATCTTACTCTTTAAAAAAGTAAAGTCTTTCTCTGTGTGGGTCTTTCTCTGTGTGGGATCCTTTCCATAATGTTGTCAGACACTTACACACAATCCGTGCCTGTGAGTTGCAAAAACAAGCACTTCAGCGGACCTACCATGACAGTGTGCAATAACCCACGAGGATTATGTTGAAGCGTTGTTTCGCTACTGCCGACTTCTGCGTGCTCGCTCAATACCAATTTTATAAAATGTTGTCCCAATTAGTCACTTAGACACAAAAACATGGGAAAATAGGATCCAGGTTGAAAAATACCAAAGTTATCCATTAAAAAGTCAAAGCTCTGAGTGGATGTCACATTTTATTCTTGTGATGTGGACATAATCTGTCAAACATACAGTAAAGAGCTATTAACCAGTTATAAATTATCCGTTTTGCTGAAAGTGTGGTTGTGATTGTGCATCATCAGAACTCAAGTAGACAAAACTGACCTGAATCGGCTGTAGGGGGCACAAGGTGATTAAAAGTGCTCCCAGACAAAACATGTTGTATTAGTAATGTCACATAACCAAGATGTTGACTAAAGTATAATTCCACAACATCCAATTATCCCAATTTCAGTCTAAACCAAAAACCAAAATAAGGGAAACTGAAAAAAATGATGTTCCTCAAAAAAATGAGGATCACTTGACTGCTACAACAAGGTCTTTGATAACAAAAAATGCTGCAGTGACACATCAAACAGCTGGGAGAACATGACAACATCGTAATCAAATAAGAGTTATAAGGGACTTAGGGAATATCCAGAATTAAATGGAGCATGCTATCTGTTGAAATATTCATAATGACCCTTGAATGAAAGTATTTTAGTCATTTGTGTGTAAGTGGAATTATTTTTTTATTCATTTCAAATACTCTAGTTTGTGTATAACCTTTTCTATCCTTGAGTCAGGAACTGAGGAGGAGCCCCAGATCCATTACCGTCTGATATCCCTTGTATAACAAATTCAATCCCACCAGATGTTGACATGCCAGCAAGACTGGAGATGGAGAGATATAGCAGCTCGTTCTGTTAGACAGCTGAGCAGCCACAGAGTGCACACTGACAGATGTGCACCAGTACATGGTACATACAGACACACATTACCCCTCCAGAGGCTGCTCTGAATCCAGAAATGAGAGAGGAGACACAGGGAGATGGTACACCACATTGGTCCATACATGTTTACCTTCAGGATTTTGATAATGGCTTATCATTGCTCTGTGTTCACCTCTGATGCAATCTCCATATCAGTGTAATCAGGTATGTATAACAGACATCATACCTTTATTATCTAAATGTGTACTAAAAGAGTCAGTCTTACTATTGATAAATCAGTGGCATCAAATTCCTCGTACACTTCTGTCAACTGATTGGTGGAAAGTACACAACCACATTCTTTTCACACAGCATCTCTTATGACACACATGATAGGGCATGGTTCTTATGCCTGTACAATTATTATACTATAGACTAGACTTTTAGACTGGACTGTCTGAAAGTATGCGCTGTTATCACATCTCATCCCTTTCTCTGACGCCTGGCTCTTCACCCTGCCTTCGTGCGTTATGGTGGAACAGGTATACACACCTTTGCCTTCCGACGTGATCATACAACATGTGGTGTGAACAAGTTATTTTCTTCTTTTTTTTATTTTCACAAAAGAAAGTGACTGAACATTATCAGGTTTTTGGAGTATTTTTTTTCTGTGTTATGAATTTAAAGATCTTATCCTTTCAGAAACATGTATAAACCCGTGACCCTAGCTGTGGACAGAAAGCGCAATATTCCATGTAAACTTCATGTCCAGAATAAGATCAAAACCAGGATACTATTGTGCATGTACACGCACACCAATTTAACTGACTTTGGTCACTATCAAATGTGTAAACGGTAAACCACAGGAGACGATCTGTGCTCAAAGTTCACACGATCCAAAACAGAAAGCACAGGTGACACTCAAGAGATACACTCAGACTGTCGCTATTTACTGGACAACCACTAAGTAGAAAAGCGGTTGGGTCCCGAATCATATTCATGCATGTATGTTACAGAATCGAGATTGGGGGGGGGGGGGACTACAATTAACCCTTATAACCTACTACTTCTCATAGACACACACTACTACCCCCTCCCCTTCCTTTTCTCATAATGGTTATGGCAGCGAGCATAAAGCATACTCAGTGTATACATGATGTACCTATACAATATACAGTACATACACAGTCACATTGCATGCAGAGCAATCATCTGATAACACAGAGCTGACATAAGTTTGTTTAAATAATCTGACATAACTGAGACACACATGACATGACCCTTCCCAGGATTCAGTGGGACACACAAAGCACTTTTCCTGAGAACCGGTTTAAACCGGTTGGCTAGTGTGTGTGTGTGTGTTTGTGTGTGTGTGTATGACTGAGGGAGAAGCTGAATCTAGTTTTAACCCTTCAGGTGCTGGAGCAGACGCCAGGCTTCCAGAGTGACGGCCATTATACAGTGTGAGTGTACACGTGCGTACGTGCTGGGTGTATTGCTGTGAAATGATGATGGGGGAAGATGTTAGACACGGGGAACGCCCCCCCCCCCCCACCACCTCCCTCAATCCTTACACGGACACTGACCCTATCTTTGTAACGGGGAACTGAATGGCTGACAGGTTTCATATTTCATCTCCATGGCAGTTTACACACATTTCCATCAAGCCCCTCACACACACACCAAACCCCCACCCAAGAACCTGACATCATATGCAACCAAAGACTCTGACAGCAACTGAAACAGAAAGAAAAACTGTACACAAATGACAAACCAATGCATGTACACAAAGTTAACATGCAAGTAAACTAACGCACATATCGGGATAAAGAGCTACACAGTCCATTTTAATATTATACTACTTTTATGAGTCTGTATTTGTGTGGGTATAGAAGTTTCATGGCACGATTATCAGAATTATCTCGCTACACAATTTTATCCTGATAAATATTCAAATAAGATGGAAATCCTCTAACAGCATTTAACAACACTGTAAAGACTTCATTGTACTGTGGTGGTCATGGTGATGTGTCCTTAAGTTTGTGGGGCTGCTGGCTTTGGCTGTCACTCTTTTAATACATTTTTTATCAGACCAATAGTTTTCCCTCAGCGCTTCTTTCAAAAATATCAACATACTTTGGACCAAATCCTTTTTGACAGAGGAAAAAGTTCCATTGTCTTTGCTGACAAACACATTATTTGTCCACCGACAAACACATTATTTGTTGTGTATTTCCCAGCATGCTGTTGGGTCTTCCATTGTAGGAGTGGATGCTATTTATATCCCACAGGTCTAAATGGCTCACTAGTGGAAATATGTGCCATGATAAGAATTTTCTTTACCATTTGTAGTGTTCAAAAATGGATATTAATTGTCTCACGAAATTAAGTGGATGACAGACTCAACTGCATATTAGCCAATGAAGCTGCTAGCAAAGGAAGTGTAAGTGTCACATATATTTTGAGACACCACCCAGGCCTGGTCTTTAGTGTGTGAGCAGGGCTCCCTTTTGAAAATGGGTGTAATAAAAACTAAAGCCAAATTATACTGTAAATGTAGAACCAGATTAAAGTAGGCGTATACAAATATACAAAATGTAGTTACATTTTCTCTTTAATAAAAAACAAACAAATTAAGCTGAAATGTGGTAGCTTGGGGACATAAAAACGCTAACTTTATGTAGCCCAATGGTGAAGCTTCCGGTCTGAGACGTGAATCCAATGCGGAAGTCCCATAAACCTGTATTCTATTTAACGGCCATCAGGGGGCGACACTTCTGGTTGCAAAAAGAAGTCTGGTTCCGTTAAAAATAATGGTAAAATGACCCTACTTCTCAGCTGATTTATTACCTCAGTAAACACTTTCATAATGAGTTTATGGTCTCAGTCGCTAGTTTCAAGTCTTCTTCAATACAACATGATGTTCATTTAGTAAATTATGGTCCCATTTAGAGGAAAATAGACCTTAAGGCAGAGTATGCTTCAGGGCGGGATTATCTGTGATTGACAAGTTGTTACCATGGCAACTTGTCAATCAGGCTAGAGTGGCTCATATGTGTAAGTGTAAATTTAACCTGCAGCGTTGAAAAAGCGTATTGGGAGTTGGCTGTTCACTTTCTCTGGTGAGTACATTTAGTTTAAAGACTGCTGTTCGCTAGACAAAATTGTCAGCCCTGTTAAAATGACAGTTCAGGTGAATTACAGATGCACCTAGCTAAGCAAGCTAACTAGCGCCACGCACGGCCATATAGTCCAAATACAGTCACTTCTGGGCACTTCTTGGTTGCAAAAAATCAACACGGTGGCGCCCTATCGGCCAAACTCGAGGCTTCATAATGGCAGTCCACAAACGAACAGGTGACGTCACGATGACTACGTCCACTTCTTTTATACAGTCTATGATGTAGCCTTAATTTAATGACGAGCAAGAGAAAAAGAACAATAGGCTATATTAAAAAGGACTCTTTCTCTGGTGTACATGTAAGATTCAACAGTGGTCAAAACCTCACGTTTACTTTAGATAATTTACTACTTACTGCTTAGTTTTTGATGCTCAAAAAAAGGTTCTGAGCTAAGTCATTACGTTATATCTCATTATTTCTTTATTTGGTTTACAACTTGTACATGAAGACTGTACAGTTTGTGTTGGTAGACTTTTTCCAAGTTTTTTGCAAGTGTTACTTAATCAAGCACAATCCTCCCGTTACATTTGCACTGTAATTAAATCACAATGGTTCCTACCATATTATCAAATTGCACAGAGCAGGTACTTGACTCTTGGCGAGTGTGGCTTTCACCAACACAGAATACGCATACTTTAATCTGGTATCAGGTTGCTAACGCTATCAGGGCCCCGCTCACCAGAATTCACAGTTTATCTACGCCTGTCTTGTTTCATGCTGAGGGTCGTTTCTATCTGCCCCGAGGCAGTAATTTATCTAGTCACTCAAAGCACTGCTGCCTATATCCTATATATTTGATGAAGTCATGGAGGCTTGACCAAACAGCTACCCTCTGACCCTTGCAGTCACGTGCAGTAGCTTAAAATGTGGCCAGCAGACAACCCTGTCCAGAACAGTGGCAGATTATGCAACTCCTCTGGATCACTCTTGTGTCTGTGCTTTCTGGAAAACAACAAAACTTGGGAGCAACCTCTCACCCAGTATTGTAATTTTAATACTATGAATACAGTCACTCTGGGATGGACAGGACTACCAGGGCTTCGCAACTTCAGCACTGTCTGTCATAACAGGTGGCTCAGTAATGCCTGTGTCAAAGAAAGGCATTCTCCTCTCATCTGACCAGTGTTAGACAACCCCTTCACTAAAGGCATCCTGTATTCTGTTCACAGTGACAGTTCATAAACAATGCAACAGACTGTTAATGTGCAAGTAACCCTTTACAAGCCCTTTGTTCACATGAACAACTGAGAGTTCATTCCAGATTTCCACAAAGAGGCAATGAAGTCTCTTGACAGCAGATCACTTTACCACCATAACATCCCCATTCTGCATGGCACCCATAAGCACAGTACACAGCTTCACAGATGTAAACACCTTCCTACCCTTCTTTAACAGTGAACCTAAGATTTTGGACTGTTCTTGCCAGACAAAACAAGACATTCGAAGACGTCAACTTGGACTCTGGTAAACTGGGATGTTCTATCATTTTATAAACCAAACAATTAATCAAGAAAATAATCAGCAGTTTAAGCATAATGAAAATAATCATTAGCTGCAGCCCTAACAAAAACAATAATGTCTGAAATCATGCATATTAGGCAAGAACTCATTTTAAAAAATGAGTATTAGTATTTTAGTATTACAAATTAGTATAATTATTTTTACTGTGAAAGCAGCCGATTTAAATATCTAATAACAGTACAGACATTGTGTAATAACACCTAACTCTCAATCGAAACCAGTATTTCATCAAACGCGCAATTGAGCTTTAAAGTGTTAAAACGATCCCAAATAAAGTTAACAGCAGAAGCCAGTGCCTTCATAACACGACGTGCAATGCTGTGTGCGGTTCTGTCAACACCCAGTAAGCAACATCAGCTTCTGTCATATTTAATCATTAAATATTAAAAATCCATCTGAGTGCGTCCAGATAAACAGACAATACAAAAATGTGTAGAAACTGGTGTGATGGCAGAAATCCTGAGCAAAGCTTTGTCCCGAAGCGCAGCAAACTCGTTTGGTTGTGTTGGCTGGAAGTGTGTGTGTGTGTGTGTGTGTGCGTGTCTGGGTGAGAGGAAGAGACAGAGAGGCAGTGTGTGCGGTGTGTGTCAGAGAGTGTGTGTGTGTGTGTTCAGCTTTAAGAGGAGGAAGACTACGGTTGTCACAGAGAGAAGTAGGAAGATTAGCTACCAGATAGCAGAACCAACACTGGTGCCAAGGGGGCTTAAAGCGGGCAGCAGCGTCCACCATTAACGTTACACCACCCAGTACACCATCCACACCAAACTCAGCCCTTTAAAAAACTAAACCCAGCCCACACTACATGTGCAACCAGCCGGCTTTTTTATTATTGACACCGCCACAGAGGAGCTGAGCGTGTTATTAGTTAGCGAGCTAACATTAGCTATAACGCACAAACAACAGCACGAAGCCGTTAATGTTAATGAGCCGTTAACGTCTGACCACCAACGGCCGCCACCGACTTCAAGTCCAAGTAGTGAAAGTCCTCCAGCCGGGCAGCTGCTCTTCAGCGTGACCCACACAACCAGAACCGAGCCCGAATCGTTGACCTGACTGCACCCCGATGCGGGACAACCATCAGCTAAAAAAAAAGAGGGGCACAAACTTTCATTCTACTGCCCTAAAAGTGAGGCAATACGAGGCTCACCGGGAGTCTATACCTGGGTGTCCCCTCCGGAGGAAAAACCGTTTCGGAACTCACAAATTTCACCGACCGGCCCACGGACCGAGCTTGCCGCCGAAGAGCCGCTGGCGATGTAACGTAACGTTATAATCCTTACCTCATTTAACGACTTCTACTGCACAAAATCAAGTCCAGGGATCACAGTTAGAAGCTGGCACGCTTAAGAAAACGTAAAATAAAATAATATTTTGGCTGAGCGAGTAACCCCCCGCCACCCCCCTTCTCCCACCCAGTGCTCAACCTTTGCCTCTGCGGAGAAGTGTTACTTTTCAACAGCCCATCAGCTTCTTTATCGTCACAGATAGGTGGAGGAAAGCCTGGCTCCTCTCGACGACTCCGAATAAAAGGCTCCCCTCGATCCACTTACAAAAAAACTTCGGCTTCACCTCAGTCAACTTACTCGCTCGCTTTGTTGCCCGTTCTTCGCCGACGGTCGACCAAGGAATGTTTAATCTGCAGTTAACCTCGATAAATCGTTGCTTTTTAGAAATCCAGGGGATATCCTCTTTTTTTCGGCCCTCCCCACTGCCGCGTCTGTTGCCAAATAATGCGCCTCAACACACATGGAGCCGCTGCGTCCTCTTAGTGGGCATGCGCACCTCGGCATACCAGGGCGACCGGATCACATCATGTAAGCCACTGACCACCAAGGGCCAAAGCAGGACGACCATGACAGGGGCCCCGGGCTCCTCGGGTTGACCTATGACTGTATCAGCAAGTACAGACTTCCATCTCCAACACACACTCACTCAATTACATACACACAAACACACACACACACACACACACACACACACACACACACACACACAATGTTACAATAAGGACCTATGAAAACAGAAGGCATCACACACTCCTCTAAAACACTAGCATCTCAATTGCACCCTAATGTATGATAGAGACCTAAACTAGCAACCCCAGGTCAGGACTCAAATTCACTTAGTGTCAGTATGATGAGCACACTGAATCTGGTTACACCACACACATTAAACACAAGACAACTGAGAAACATGCAACATATAGAACAATACCGGTGTACATAAACAGTGGGCAAAGAGTTGTAAGAGCATGCAGCACTAACTAATAAACTGTGGAAGACAGCCAGGAAGAAAGACTGTTTTGCCAACCAGGCACAGGTGGCAATTCATTCCATTCCCCCAGGGGCCTAGAGACCCGAGTGGGGGGGCCCTCAAAGCCCCCAGGTTTACTGCATGTTAACTGTTTGATTTGAGGAACTGCAAATTTGTTAGGGAACTTGTGCTACCAAAGTACAATATCAGCTAATGTGGGTCCTTTATTATTCCATAACGTTGTAACCCTGCCTTGTAGATGGCCCTGTGTCTAAATCCAAGTTTAAGAGCTATGTGCATTGTTCTGGATGGAAACTTTAAGGCGACAGAGTGTATACGCTGAAGGTGAGAGGTGGGGAGTTAATGGGGGGCCCAACAGCAAATGTTAGGTCAATGATGCCTTAAGGGGAATTCTAGTAAATACACAACATGCATTCATATGGCTGCTGTATTATACAAATATGCAATATAGTGCATGATTCTCATCATATTATCCAACAAACTAAAACTCTGGACTTGCACCAGCAACCTGTAGCTTCATGTCTACCTCTAGGTCCTCAACAAGGACCTGCACCAGCATCACATCCAGATCCTTATCCCAGTCTCAGCATCATATAATTGTCTAATTGTACAATTGTATAATCATGTCTCTGAAGGACCTACGTTAGCATCATATGTGACCCCCTGACCCCCACATAAAAATCGAAATTCAAAAACATCAACATCAAGCCCAACATTATATTTGAATTCACTTTAAAATCACATCCCAGCATCCACCCTAAGTTAATGCCTGATTCAGACTTACTGTAAAGCCTGCAACATCAACCTTGTAACTCTGAATAGTGTCCTATGCCAGGAACCTTAACAACATACAGGATTCACATCTCACTTTACGGCAGGGATTAGGAGCAGTGTTGAATTAATGAGCAGTCAACCAGGCTTGCTGTTACAGTCAGAGCCATACATGCAAGTCCAGAACACACACACGGCAGGGTTACTACATCAGAAGTTGCAGAATTGGTTCCATAAAGGATCCAGCTGGCTGCTTCTTTCATGACAAGACCTTCAAAGCATCCCTGTGAACTGGACTAATCCTCTGTCATCGGCAAACACCCATATAAATCCACAACCACACACACACACACACACACACACGTGTTTGAAATACTGTGATCCAAGCAAAGTAGTTGTCCATAAAGACTGAAGTGGGTAGGGGCAGGTGGGGGGTTGGAGTGCTTTGTCAGTGTTATCCTGCTGTTCTTTAAATGACAAAAAAGCTTTCTCTCTAGATGATGCTGTGTCATCAGGTGTCATTATTTCCATCCTCTCATCCTACCACTCCATCTCCTGAGGCCCCAGATTGTCTCGTATAGGCAAGCAAATCTGCACCAAGGGGTCATCTTTTTTTAATGATCACCCTACTTCTGTAAATATTGTCACCCATATCCCAGATCCCTGGGTTTAAATGGAACAGATGGCTCTAGATGTTAATCAGTCAGTAGTAACTATACTAACAAACAAAACAACAGCGGTCATTTACAGGAACCTGGGGATAGTTTACATTGTAGTATAGTGGAAGGTTTCTGTCACAATTTCAAAGTGTGGTAAAATGACTGATAAAGCCCACGAGCCAAATCATGTCGAATCAAAAGATAAAAAGCCAGGGGATTACTGAAGATCACACGTCAGTAAATGTCTGCATCAAACAGCATGCCAATCCATCCAACATTTGTCGAGACATTTCACTCAGAAACAAAAAATGTCACTAAAGTCACTGGGATTCATCCTCTGGGGACCATTCATGTGTGTACAAAACGTTTTGGATGGATAGTCATGAGTGAGTTGAGATATTTTACTTTGGACCAAAAGTAGTGACCCCTAGTTGCTCCAGAGGCGTGCGACCATATAGCAATTGTAAGCCGCTTTGGATAAAAGCGTCAGCTAAATTAATGAATCATCAGCATAATTAGCATCTGCAAGTGTGGCTTAAATGTCTAATAACTATTTCCCCAGCAGAATATGACTCCTGGCTTTGTGTAGAACAACAGAATTTAAAATGTCATGTTGAGAGTTACAGAAAAAACAAGAAAACATTGGAATAAGTAAGATAAGTCTGATGTTAAGGGTTGAATGGGAGGACGTGGGCTCACAACCTCAGTATTTTATAAAATCCTGGCTACGGCCCTGCAAACACTAGTAAATGAAAGGTTAATTATTAGTCTTTTAATTAATATATACAGAGGTAGAAAAAATATATGAACACATGGCAATGTAATACAATAAAACTGCCCTGCAATGATTACTACCTTCAATGTCTGGAGCTCATAAAAAAGGTCAGGTCATCAGACGGGGATCATAGTCTGCATTTTCTGAGGCTGAACTTTGTGATGCTGCAATGGATTACATAATATTTTCAGGTGGTCCTGTTTCTTTGCCCACCTCATCTATTTAAGAACTATTAATGTTTACTCATTGTTTATAACTATTACACAACCATGATGATGTGAGACATGTTTCATTGCCAAGTGTTATGATTTTTCAAATTAATTGATATGCTGTAAGAATTGAGAGCAAAATGATGTTATACAGGGAACCTAACAGGAGACAATTTAATATTCTTGATATAAAGGCCTATATCTGTAATTTAAGTCAGTCAGTAGCCTAGGTCCTGTTCAGGTGATGGGATGAGCTCTGAAATCAAACAGGGGTAAGGTCAGTCCCCAGCCTCTCTCAGTGTGGAGTAGGCCTAATGGCCGCCCACTACAACATGACAGCTTCAACTTAATCCTCATTAAGTACTGTAACAATGCAGGAAGTAGCTGCTGCAGTCACGATTAGACGGGCTCACTATTTGGCAGGAAATGGCTCCTTTCAGCTGCGTCCAAGACACCTAGAGCGTCCCGAAACTTTGCACTTCTCACTCACCCTCTACCTTTGGTGAACATATTTTTCCGAAGATGAGGACATAAAGGAGGGAGGGAAACAACTATTATAACTTCAATTATGTTCTTTAAAAAAATGTGTGTAGAAAAAAACTGATGAGGTCTCGGGGGGGGGGGGGGGGTCTCTGAATGCCGATGTATATCATGGGATGCATAACCTCATGTTCACTTGAAGAACAGATAATGTCTAAAATTTTACAATGTTATTTGATTGTGAATCAAAACAACTAACAATATAATTTTCAGCCGTGAGTTCACTTTCATATTAGAGTAATTAGCATCTGATGTCAATATCGGATCTTACATGCGGATATTTCTATATTTCAAGCGTCTTTTCAGTTGATAGCCTATCTCATTAATATAAGTGCGCATATTTCCTATATTTTTTGTAAAATCAAACATGTTTTTATTAGCTTTCAAGTAATTTATGTTTCGGATCCTATTGTCCAATTGACTGCTGATAAATAAAATAAAACACTTGTTTCATGCAATGTAATGATAAGGACTAAATATACAATTATTCTAAATATTTCAATTGATACAACTGATAAAACGATTAGTGCTACAAACCTGTTCTCCTGTGTGCAATTTGTTTGTAAAACAACTGTAATGGATTACAGTTACTATTCTATAATTACAGATTACACTGGTGTAGTTACATGTAAGAAAGGTAGCACAAATAGTTTAAGAGTCACTGTCACATCAGTAATGAGTCCCTGGAGTACTTCACTCACCTTGCATGTGTGTCCACCTAACTGGAGAAGGCAAATAGAAGATTTTCAAAATAACTTGTGCAAAAGAGGGTATTACAGGCAGGCAAATATATCACCCTGAATGATCTGTAACTTTGCACTTTGGCCTGATGATGATGAGACATCATCCCCTCTTTTCACCCAACATGTTTTTTCACTTAAAGGGCATTAATGTCACATCCATTTAAAAAAGAAGCTTGGAACAATCTCTCAAACAGTTAGATCCAGTGTTATGATCTAAAACACCTTTTTCTAAACAGGTGATGTTCAGACGTTTGTCATGTCCTTCACAGTTTTCTCAGTAGTTCCTTGGAGGTCAGCTACAGTGTCCACATCTACAGCGCAGTCTGAGGGGATTTGCAGTGACACATTTTTGTTGTTGTGTTGGTTCTGTGCTCCAGCACAGTGCATATGAAATCAAACGATGAGTATTAGACTGGATCAATCTGCTGGTCTTACTGAAGAGCAAAACCACATAATGCCTTCTGTATTTTCTCATTTCATAACACTGCAGTCAAACAATCTTTGGTCAAGCATAAATAGTACAGACAATGTCATGCAGAGTTCATGTTATCCCAGCAACATCTAGGAATTGCATTTGCATTTAACTCATGGATGTTAATTAGCAGCAGATGGTTACATTTTACATTACCTTTTCAACCTGTTTCTGACAACTGTTGACTAAAGCTTAAACACCTTAAAACCTTTTAAAAGGCTATATGTAAAATGTAAGCTCTTGTGGTTGACAGTTCCATTTATTCAAATTTAGATTTCAAGGAAAAAACTGCCCTGGTGACCTGTCCAGGGTGTACCCCGCCTTTTTGCCCGATGCCCCCGCGACCCTGTACGCAGGATAAGCGGTTGACGATGGATGGATGGATGGAAAAAACTGCTAAGTTTTGCCTCAATGGATCATTCAAGTATGTTTGGGAGTTTGAGCTCTTTGTGGTGATATAGTGTTTAATTGTAAATGGATGGTAAATGCACTGTACTTGTATAGCACCTTTCTAGTCATCTGAACTTTACACATGTCACATTCACCTCTTTTAGACACATTCATACACTGATGGCAGTCGCAGCCATGCAAGGTGGCAACAGCACATCACAAAGGAACTAATCACTTACACATCATTCATATACTGATGGCACAGCCTTCAGGAATCAGCAATTTGGGGTTCAATATCTTGCCCAAGGATACTTAAATATGCAGACTGGAGGAACCACGACGTTCCACTTCACACTGAGAACTTAAGGAGGTGTCAAACAGCTACTTTTCAGAATGTATTGAAATAAATGGAAACAATACATTTTCTAAAACACAGCAACACAGTTTGCAAAATGGTTGGCCGTGATTTAAAGTACGCTGTGTGTTGTGTACCAACTGGGTTGAAACATGCACAACCTCTAGTTGTCAGCACTTTGATCTTAGTCATGGTTTCATTTAAAATCCAATACAGAAGAGAGCCAGCACAACAATACTGTTACTGTCATTTGTGCTCAACATGCAATCAAACATTAAGTTTTATAATATGTAAAATGTCAATACAATAAATGGCATCCATGCTGTAGTTTTTTTTGCCGTAATAAACTTGCAAATGGCCAAACTAGTAGTTTATTTTGAAATAACAAACACTATCAGTGCATAAATCTGTATAAAAATGTCTTTACTAGATAAAACAAAAAATCTTTCCTACATTACAGCAACTCAATCAAAAGTTATTTGAAAAAATAATCAACAATAATGGCAAACAACAAATGTATCTGATATAATGAAAAGCAAAATGAAATAAATAAATAATTAATAATTATTAAAAATACAGATTTATACTGCCATCATCTGGAAGAAATGAGAAAAACAACAAAGATTAAAAAAAAACAATTATCCCAAAATGCTGACATGGAAAAGTTTCATCATGAAACAACATATGTGCAAACAAGTAATAGTAAATATTATTATTACTGGTGCCTTGACTCCAAGGTAAATGTGCACAGTATATAAACATACACCACAATGAGGGTGAAATAGTAAACATTTAAAGGGAAGTACAGTCAGGCAATACGTCTACTGAAGTGCAGTGTCCAAAAATATCCATATACTCATTTGATGCATCACAGTCTGAAAACATGTTTAAAGTAAATTTGTCATTCCTTCAAAACATTTATAAACACTATCAGATGTCAAGCAAACAAAAGGTTTCCCTATATATAAAATGGTCAGGTGGATATAGGGTCTAGCAAAAATTTAAAATTCGATCTCATGAATGCTCATTTTTGTTCCTCGTCAGTGAATAAACTACAAATGCAGCTGTCCACCAAACCAACTAGTTCATATCAATTATACCACTACACTACATTAAAATCATTACATATAGTATACTATATATCTAAATTTATCCTAAATAATACTGTGTATCAGAACTGGAAATACAATTCTTTCGAAAAAACAGATTTTGAGTTCTTGCACAATAGACTGAGGCCCTCTTGACTGTCGGTTAGGCCAATGGATGGATTAAATTTAATGCTAATTTAATCTGAAAATCTAAGATTTCTCTAAACATTTCTATTTCCTCCAAAATAAAACTACTTCCATGATGGTCAAGAAAGAGTTAGGAGATGAGCTAAATGAGTTGAACAAAGCAGTTGAATTTAAAGGTTCCCTGTGGGGTTTTAAACCACTCTGACCAATGATGTCATACTTTTCCACTGATTAACAGGTGACGGTAACTCCACGATATATATAGCAAGTTGCCAACAAAGGCAGGGAAGAAGAAGAAGACAGCAAGCTAGTTCAAAATCAGCTTTGCTAATGTTTTTGGAGGAATGCATTTTACACATTTGTTAGAGCTCAAGGATACAAATACAATTTTTGTTGAGTAACACTTAACGTAAACATAACTTTTGGCTTTACACATTTTGGGAAATATGTGTAATTGCTTTCTTGCAGAGAGATACAAGAGAAGGTGGATGTCACTCTCATGTCCTGTAAATATAAAGCTACTGCCTAGCTTCGCACAAAGAATGGAAATAGGGACAGAGCGGGCCTAGCTCTGTCCAAAAGTAACAAAATCCACCTACCAGTGCTCACTTAGACTAACACTAGCTGTTTCCCACTGTTTGTGCTAAGCTAAGCTAACTTCATATTTAGCGTTCAGAGATTTCAATCTTCTCATTTAACTTGTGACAAGAAAGCAAATAACAATATTTCCCAAAATGTTTTAAAACTTGAATTTGTTTTTGAGCGGAGAAAACACGCAATTACAACCACTCCAGAGTGTGTCAGTATAATATCAAATGTTCCCTGACACCCTTTACTTTCCAAAAAAATTCAAATCCAGTTATGGTGATCCTGTGCCCCAAACAAGTGAGGGAATGCACCTAATGGAAGCCTGCCAAATGACAACGGGCAGTTTCTAATTTCATTATCCTGCCTCCTCTAATTCTTACCCTTTTACCAGCTCCTTCTGTTTATCTTTTCAAGTAATTTCCCCTACAATTACTCTTCCACGTCTCCTTTTCTCTGCCAGGGTGGGTTTTTTTTCTCAGAGCAGGCTGGCCAGGCTGGTAGTAGGTCCATTCTGAGGCTGAAACTGCACAGGGGGGAGGCCGTCTGTCCACTAAAACACAACACATTGCACAACAGTTTCTTTCAAAATCCAGGCAGGGTGGATTGACTTACTGTTTATAGGCTGACTGACTGATGTTGGGCTTACACTGATGAGATTGTGTTCAGGGAGGCTGCAGGCCGCGATGTGGTCCTGCAGGAGCTGCTGGGAAAAGTTTTGGTGCATCTGAGCTGCCTCGTGGGCGTCCATGGAGTTTCCACAAGCCTTGTTCAGATCTGTAGGGGAAAGATCATTGATAACCACAGCTGCAGTTTTGTGTTTTAACGTTTTTGGATCCTAGCATCAGTTCCACCTTTGATTATGCTCAGACGTATCAAGTTATTGCAGATTAAGCGTTTCTTCTGCCACTTTGTTGTCTTCCTGAAGCCTTGTCCACTTCAAATTCAGTCGTGTCTCCGTTACTCTGTGATGTATTAATGCTGTAACTGAATGTGAAATTGTTTTGCCATAAGAAAAAAAATTCTTCTGTGCTAGAAAGATATTGGAGTCGATGTCAGCCAGTAAATCTAACAAAGAGAGGAGTTTGCTGTGTTGGAGTAAAGTTGGGAATTAAAGCCTTGCTAGCAGTTCTATGTACACAACAAACTCATCTCCCTTGTTTCCACCAGCTTTTCCTACACCAACTCTCCCGAGATTTCAGAGCGAGAACTGTCCTAAACAAGACTTCAGTTTTTTCTTAAAAACAAAGGGTGTCTCCGGGAGTCACTCGTAGGGACCCTTTCTATGATGTTGCCAGACACCTAGTTTAACAGTCTGAGCCTGTCAGTGGCAAAAAGAAGCATTTATTGTGGGTGTAATTTTAACAGGTGCAATTGCCCTACTACTGCACAGATTCCAAAACTTTTTGTACCTACTAGTTATTTCCACACCAAAATATGGGAAAATATAGGTTTAACAATTCCAACATTATCCTTTAATCAACAGATATTAAAACTAAAGTTTTAATTTAATTATGAAATGAACTGAATTACATGTTTGTATCATTATGGAATTTAATTAGATACATTTTTTATTTGATTATTGTCATTTAAATTTAAAAATGCCCTTTTTCAAAAGTCTGTTTTTATTTCACTAAAGCATTTTCCCAGGAACACTTTTATGTCATGTCATTATTTCATAATGTCAAATTCTTTTCCCAATGTCACCCTTCACCTTTCAACCAATCACATGTCCCCTGCTACCAGATTTAGCCAGTTAGCTAGAGCAACAAGCAAATTAAATTATTAAATAAAATGCAATACTTTTAAAACTGTATGAATATATAAATAAGAAATAACATTTCATAATTGCATATATTTTACACATATTTTTCATGTGATTATTTATTTAGTAATTATTTTACAATTGTTTTAATACTCCATACCCATGACATCTGATGTGGATAATAACCAGAAGATCAACCATTCCATTTTGGGACACACTGAGCTTCCCTCTGGTGCCCCCATCAGGCCAACATGTAAACTTCTTCTATCACACCCTTTTGGGAGAATATTGCCTGTAACGTAATATTAACATGAAACCTAAAATTGACCGCTGTACCTTTGAGAAGAGCAGAGGACCAGAGCTGCACAGACATATCGGGGATCTTGCTGGCCAGCTGCATGGCAGGAACCACCATATTGTTACTTTCCTGAAGAAAGTATGGAACCAGACAAGTCGTCAGGATCACATCTGCTAGTCCGTAGATACTGGTGCTACTGTGTGTGGTTAAATAGAGATGCTATGTGGTAATATATTGACTCACCCTATGGTTGCCCAGGACAAAGAAGATATGACCCAGTAGGACTAGCGAGCAGGCAGTCAGCCTATTCAGATCCTCAGCGTTAGACATCTTCAGGGTCTCCCTTAGAAATCTTCTGTTGATGCAAGTTTACATGTTAAGCTTTCTTGTTCTAAACATAAGAACATAACATCAAGACTAAATTAAACTCTTACAGTACAAGTATTAAAATTAAAAGTAAAGTGTTACTTGGCCTCATTGTAGCGTCCCTGGAAGAAAGACAGAAGCCCTCTGATGTAAAACGCTGCGGCTTGTAGACAATGACAGCTGAAGAAGTCAAAATCATATTATTATTTAAAATTTTGTAAAAAAAACATGGAACAGACTTATATGATGTGATGTCGTATCCATAGTTACCTGACGGGAAAGTTGTGATCAGGATTAATCCTCTCAAGAAGGCTGTACAGCTGTTGACGGTTAAAAAATAAGTTACCAAATTAAAAACATACATATACATATACACACACACACACACACACACACACATATTAGTTTAAATGCTGGGGGAAGGAGAAGCTCCCAGACCTCTTGATGTCTGTTGCCTTCCCGGATGTAGACGCTGGCCAGGTTGGTCACAATAAATGTCCACAGCTCCTGGTGTGTTGTCATCTAACAGAAGACAAAAAAAAAAGAGATAGGAAATCACCAACAACATTGAGTCATCTAAGAGTAACATTAGTGGATTAATAGAAACATATATTTGATATTCTACTGGATTTCAAAGATCTGGATAAACTTTGGGAGTCAGAGAGAGTTCACAGTCCACAGTGATCTAACAGTAACAATATGAAACTCACCTGAAGAGCAGCAGTGAACTGAGCCTCAGCATTATCCATGCAGTTTACTGATATACAGTAGAGGCCCTAACACAGAAAAAGGATACAGATGAGAATGGTTCTTATTAACTGGGATAGATGCATCTTGTAAACAGTGAGCAAGTCTGCTACTTTTTTCTACAACCTAGGCACTTAAACAAAAGGGAAATGTCAACAACATGTGTTGGTAGAATATGGAGTGCAATATTATAACATACACATTTTTGCTTTGAATATTTCATAGGGGATCGTTGACGTTGTTATTCTCACAAGTATATCTTGTCCCATTTTTCTTATCATAAGCATGCCTGTGTTTCCTTTTTTTGTAAAGGCGTGTTTTTATTGCTGGTACACTTACCAGTAGTGTGTGAAGCTGGGCAGCATGATTTGTAAACAGCCTGGGAGTCTGCTGGCAAAGCTGACAAACCTGAGAAATCTAAAACACAGAGAGGAATCATCAAAAAAAGGAAATAAAACTGCGATCAAAAAGCTATGACAAGTTCTGGAGTAAACTGGTGTAAAAGAATCTGTCCTTTTATTCACAATCAGCAACTGTGTGGCAACATACAAATGAAGTGCTACAGAAGATGTACCTCTTGTAAAGCTGTGGCCTTGTGTCCAGTGACCAGTCGGCACATGATAATATGCTCCAGCAGGATGACTTGGAACGTGGACAGGATGGGACTGTTGTCCAGCACTTTGAACACATACAGATGGATCAGATTTGATTCAACGACGGGGGGCAAATAAGCAGTGAGCGTAATCCAACAAGCTTACTCTTCAGCTTCTCCAGCTGCATGAGGGCTTTGTCTGTGTACTTCTGTGCCTTCTCCAAGTAGCCTGCCTGCATGGAGTGCATCACTGTCACCTTTTTGGACAGAATAAACAAAACAATTGCTATTTCAGAATTTATGATTATTTCTTGAAGATAAAAACACTTGTGTGTGTGTGTGTGTGTGTGTGTGAGAGAGAGACACACACACACACACACACACACACACACACACAATCTCACCAGGTAGACGAGCACACACATGTGCTCTTTGGGCAGCCAGTGGAAGAGAGCTGCTGGATTAGTGGGAAGGATCTCATCGTCGTGGAGCGTTGAGATGGTCTGGATACACTGCTGAAGCTGCTTTAGACACGGCTTCACACTCTTTACCTAAACCCAACATATAGATAAACATAAATCTGGCTATGACAAGCATATTAAACATTAGTTACATTTAACTTTACACTCACTGACTACAGATAATTTACTACTAGTTAGGGTTATGGGGAAAACATCATGCACTGAATCTCACTTTATTTTAAATGTTCAAATGTTTGTGTGAAAAATGCAAAGAAATCAAATTATTTTACTTTTACATGCAGCTCTTGGAGTGTGATTTTAGTGGTTTTCCAGTAGTAAGACATATAGATACAGCTGTACCTGTCCAGCATCCAGGTAGTGTGTCACCTGCAGCACTAGGAAAAAAACTCGGAGGGACTCCTTCTGAATGGGGTTTCCCTGCCAGTTTTCAATAATGGTCCCACACAGTGTCAGCAGAGGGTGCACCTCGCTCAGCTTCCGCTCCATCAGCAGCAGCTGCAGAGCCACAAATGCATGTGCGGTTAACAGAATTGTGAGATAACACAAATAACACGTAAAGTGCCTTTAATTAAGAGAGAACAATCTAAGCTTACCATTCCTTTACTTAGTAAAAACAGAGCTCTACAGGGGAAGAAAAGAGCAGCCAAAGTTAATGTAAGATAATGAGCATTAAACCACAAATCAATGTGCAATCTCTCAGTGTATTCAAACATAAAACAGATCTGTTCACCTTGTGTACTCTGAGCCCATTACTCTTGCATACTCTGCCCCGACTCCTAAGAGATCGCAGGCCGATACTAAGTCCTTCTCTAGCGCATGTAGTTGCTGAAAGGGAAGAAAATCCTGCACATCAAATCGATTTATAACACATGAAGAAGTTTGTAATATGCAATATTTTCTTACCGCCAGTTGAAAAAGCAGTCTGCAGTGCCAGTAGGGAGTTTGCTGAGAAATCTGGATGGCCTTCCGCAGCACTGGCTTTGCAGAGTCCACCAAGTTCTTGAAAACATAAGCCAATAGATAAGTTATTAAGACAGAGCAAATAAAAAAAACAAGCTGTAAAAGAAAGCGTTTTAATTATTTACATTTAAGTTATAGCCTAATACGTATTTTAACGCCATGTATTATGCTTAAATTTTCCAAACACCACTTTTCAAATTACATCATTATTATTACAGGGTGACAAGATGCAAGCATTGGATGCACCAACCTGTTGACAGTAGAACTCTGATAGGATACTTGCTGCTTCAAACTTCACATCTTCAAATTGAGAGATCTGATATAAATCATGAAGGAATTGTTATTACCCCATAATCAGCTGGGTCAGTTTCAAGATAAATCCAGAACCCCTTTGTAAAACATGTATATATGATGTGAGATGATACATTGATGCTGAGGTAACACACCTTGTGTCAGTTCGTATGCATTGTCATGTTATACACAAAAAAGGATACTTGTTGTGATATGAACCACTGCGGAAAAAATAAGAAAGCAAAGTATTAATGTCAGCACCACGTGGATTTTGACAGTGAGTTGGTGCAATTAATGAATAAGCATCACTGGCTGACATGTCTCTAGTACTTATCATTATTAGCGATTCATTGTACCGCAGCCTGGTATCAGACACTGTGCTGCTGCTCACCGCTTTCTCCAGGTGAGTCTGGGCCAGCTCGCTGTTCTTTGTGTGTCGGTACAGCACCGAGCCCAGCTGCAGGTGAGTCCGGGCCTCGACCCTCGCAGACGGCTTGAACTGAAACATTGCCTGCAGACAGTGGACGCACAGACGGATCTTCGGCGGACTTGACGTGCGGAAATGTTCTGCAAAGCCCAGCAGGGCTAGGTACCAGGGCTCCGGGGCCTCTGTGCTCGCTGCCATCTTGGGTTGTCCGCGGACAACACAACAAAAAAATACACAAATTTATCGGGGGACCGACGTCCCTGGGTTGCAGCTAGTGTGTTTCTACCTCAATTATTTCCATTAGTACTAACTTACCCATAGACTGTATAAAACATATAATTTACTGCCGCCAAGCTAGCAGAGGAATAACAACGTCCGATCGTTTTTTTCAAAATAAAAAAAACATGAGTAGCAGAAAGACAAACACAACACACGTTTCTTGTAATGCAGGTTACTGTAGTGGCCAGTGGATAGTAAGAAAAATACATTATTTACAGCTTCCCACTTCGAAAAGTCATTTCACGATATATAGCCACATGACATAGGAGTTTACCACGGAAAATGTATACATAACTACTAAAATGCCTCCTTTATTTTGAAGGGAAAGTCGTCAACATAAAACGTTAACTTAAAACTGTTCGTTCCGTCCCAAATGGCGGCTAATCACGTAGCGCGTGCAACTTCTACTAGCTACTAGCTACTCCATTTGTTTTTTTTCAAGTCGTGACCCGGTGATTAAAAAAAGTCGTCTTCAGGTGAACCAGTGTATTAGTGGAACTAATGTTGCTGTCAATGTCCCAGCCGAGGATATATATGAACGGGACCTTTTGCGGAATTGACTATTCACTTAAATTGTTACGCGAAATTCACGCCCTGCGCTCGTTGCTGAGGTTACGTTAGTGAGGGCTGCCGACTACGTTAAGTGCGTAAATTGACAGTGGTAGTTGTCGGTTCATTCATAACAGTTTAGGAGGTTATCCGTCACTGGCCGGTGGTAACTGTTAAGTGATTTGACTTGTATGACGATATTTTTCTTGCATTGCAACACTTTTATTTAACTACAGGTTTGTAAACGCCAACAACTATAGCTGGAAACAAGAGCAGAAACACAACATCTACTACTAGCCCACACTAGCTAATACTATTAGCTATCTTGAATAATCAACGCAATTGATATTTTCTCATCTTGATTTCAGAGTGTGGAAAATGGCGAAGCGGAGGATCACACAGGAAACCTTTGATGCTGCTGTCAGGGAAAACATGGAGGAGTTTGAGATGGATCCGTGTGAGGCTTTGAGGGATGCTGTGGAGCAGTTTCAGTCTCAAGGTAACAAAGCTCAAAATGACAATGGTTGGTGGTTGATGCATATACAGTTTTGTTGTTGACGGTTGATGGTGAGTTTGTATAGTTTGTTTATGATCTACATTTACATTTACTCATTTGGCAGACGCTTTTATCCAAAGCGACTTACATTTGAGGAACAACATACAAGCATCAACAGAGCATCAAATACAGATCTACAACCAACAATACATATTAGTAAGAGCAGCAATAAGTACTAGTAAGAGCTCACAGTACATATCACATCAATGGGGTAAATACCTAGGGAAGGAAGTAAGAGTTAACAAAAATGCAATCAAAACAAAAAAGTGCAATCAATACGAGATCATTGTAGGGGATAGAAGAAGAAGAAGAGCACAGGACGTGCAAGTTAGAGGTGTTATAAGAGGAAGTGTTCTCGGAAGAGATGAGTTTTCATGCGTGTGGTAGCTTGTTCCACCATCGTGGTGTCACAGATGAGAATAGCCGGGACTGGGATTGCTTTGTGTGAAGGGATGGCAGAGCCAGGCGGCGTTCGTTGGAGGAGCGTAGCGGCCGAGAAGGAACGTAAGTTTGTATTATGGAGTTTAGGTAGATGGGTGCAGACCCAGTAGTCACTCTGTATGCAAGCATTAGTGACTTGAATTTGATTCTGAAGGCCACGGGGAGACAGTGGAGGTCACTGAGTAATGGAGTGACATGAGTCTTTTGGGGCTGATCAAAAACCAGAAGCGCTGCTGCGTTCTGAACCATTTGTAAGGGTTTCACTGCACAAGCTGGAAGACCTGCTAGGAGGGCATTGCAATAGTCGATGCGAGAGATAACCATGGCCTGTACCAGAAGCTGGGTGGCGTACTGAGTGAGGTAGGGCCTGATTTTCCTTATGTTGTATAGATCTATAAACACGCAGGGGGAATCAGACTTACTCATGGGAAACATATTAAATGCAAAATATCAGTATATCTATCTATGCTTTGTGCTTAAAAATAAGTGAAATCAGTGACACCAAAACATACTACTAAATTATTTGTCTTGGCTGAGGAATGGTCTCTTTTTTTAGCATCTCACTGAAGACAGGAGGCTTAATGATTAATGTGTGAAATAATGCTCAGTAGGGCTGGACAATAAAACAATGTACCTGTACCTACCAATGTTTTTTCAATAACAATATAACAAATGTTCAATAAATGTTTGATTTTATTTACTTGAATCATACACGAATAATGACTTAATTTTTTCATTGAGATGTTTATTTTGTTGAGGAAAAGGACTGAAAATAGCTTTTACTTCATTTTACTGATAAAATCTCTGTCAACAAATATGCAAATATGTATACAATTATGTTGACAAATATCTCTGTCAACATAATTGTTTTGAATGTTCTACCTCAGATTTGTGAAGTGATCCACTGTTTGGCTTCAAGTGTTGAGCATAAAGAAGAGTTTTAGCCACAATTAACCATCACATTTCTTCAACTTTCACTCAGGAGCAAAAATCAGCCTGTAAACTCGAAAGAAATAACAATTCGATACTTATCATAATAATTATCGATATCGAAAGATACAAACATTTTTGACCATATCGTCCAGCCCTAATGCTGTAGTCAGTTGACAGTGGTTGATTCAGCTTATTTAGTGAAGTATTAAAACTAAGGGTGCTGTCTTTAACACTAAACTTATGTGTGGATACAGGTGTGGATCTCAGTTGTATAGTGCAAGCTGCGCCAGCTGTATCATTTGATGGCAAACAAGAAGAGCAAACACATGAAGTCTTACAGGTAAGTCTTGACCTGATATGTGAAAAGGGTCTGCTTACTATAAACATTTCACACTCTCACTCATCTCTTTTTCACCTGCAGGCTTTGGATTCCCTCCGAATTGGAAAAGATTCTGCCGGTGCAACGGAAGTGATGGAAGACATAAAACGCTTCACTGAGCATTGCTCTCTTGGATTTGCCCAGAGGTACCTGGCTGCCCAAAAAGACGCCTACCCCGTCATCCTCTCTTACTGCAAAAAGAGTGTTGAGGACCAGGAAGCTGTGTTGACTACCCTGTCCGCTCTGGCTGCACTGACAGATGGACAGCCAGACTTGTTGGATGCAGAGGGCCAGCAGTTCCTTTTGCATGTCCTTAGGAAGTACCAAGCAGACACCTCTGTGACGCGTGTAGCCATCTGCGTAGTACGTCGCTGCTGTTTAAAACATGAACAGAACAGGCAGGATTTGGTAAAAGGCGGCATCCTGCCTCTGTTGACCGGTGCCATTAGACAACACAGCGCATGTGCTGAGCTTGTCAAGGAGGCCTCTGCAGCTCTCAGGGTCATGACCTTTGACGATGATGTCCGAGTTACGTTTGGGCAGGCTCATGAACATGCCAAGAGTATTGTTCTCGAGCACAATGGGCTGAAAATTTTAATTGAGGCTGCGAAAGGTAAGGCCAGCTGATGAATAGTTTATGTGGGTGTTTGCCATATTTGCTTCAGCAACATTTGTTTTTTCTAAATCAGATTCTGGTTTGATTAATGCAATTCCTTCATTTCTTGTGTTCCTCCCACACAGCTCACCTTGATAATAGTTCTGTTCTGAGTGAGCTCTGTGCAACTTTGTCCCGTCTGGCTGTGAGGAACGAGTTCTGTCAAGACATCTGTGATCTAGGAGGACTGAAATTCATGATGACGCTGCTTGCAGACAGCTATGAGTCACCGGTAACCAATTAAAATAAAGAGATTGATACAAACTGATTCAAGATTCAAATTCTATGTTTGTTGTGCTCACTGGTTTTCTCTTTGTAGGATTTGGTTCGGCAGGTTCTAAGCGCAATACGAGCCGTAGCAGGAAACGATGATGTGAAAGATGCAGTCGTCAGTGCTGGTGGAGTCCAGCTCGTTGTCATTGCTATGAACAGACACATGAGCAACTCTGCTGTAAGTTAAATGTGATACCTGACGGACCGAATCTAGCATTTACCACAGATTTAGTTTTTTTCATATGTTGGTTTTTGTTGCATAAAAATACGTTTGAGTTATAAATAAATTCTGCAAATGTCCTAAGATTATGTTCATGTTTGGCTGTAGGTGTGTGAGCAGGGCTGCGCATGCCTGTCTGTCCTTGCTTTGCGCAAACCCAACAACTGCAAAGTCATCATGGAGAATGGAGGTGCCTTGGCTGCTGTGCAGGCTATGAAGGCACATCCTCACGTGGTCAATGTGCAGGTAATGTGAGGTCATTAATAATGAATATACTTAATTGAAAGCCCTCTCACAGTCTGCCAACTCTCTATGTTGCTATTTACTTTCTTCCTAAACAGAAACAGGCGTGTATGCTGATGAGAAACCTGGTCTCACGTATGAGTAACTACAGCCAACCAATCTTGGAGATGGGAGCAGAGGCCCTGATAGCTCAGGCGCTAAAGACCCATCAAGACTGTGATGACGTGTATAAAGCAGCCCTCAGAGATCTTGGATGCCAGGTGGAGCTTCGAGAGCTGTGGACCGGCAAACATGGCAGTCTCACCAACTGAAAGTAGAGGAGAGCAGAGAGTTTTCCTGAAATTCATGTTTAAGCAAGGCGAAATGTTATGATGTTGGGATACATAGCAACCAGCTGGACATATTTGTACAGAATAGTTGTTGTAGAAAAGGCTTGTGAGCAGTGAAGACAACCAAGCCTCCAGTCAACACAGTCAACATAACGCCCTTGAGTGGTTAAGTATATTTTTTTCCAGGCCGTTTTCTGCTGACAGATACAGAAAGCTCACTGTAGTCCTGTTGTAAATGTTTTGTATGCAAGTAATATTTAGTTTACACATTTTCTGATGCTGATTTTATATGTGTACCACATTTATGTTCATGAGATGTCAGATGCAAATTTGTATGTTTGTTGCCATGGGTAAATATAAATGTATTTGCTGCTATGCAAATAGTATAACTCCACTGTTTTGTGCAGATTAATTTCCCATGTTGGCAGAGCCGCCTTTTAACATGTAATGACTGCTTTAAACTTTTACCATAGCTAAACATTGCCTTTTTGTTTTTTAGTCTGTATATACATTATTACACAGTAAATCTAAAATCTGTGATATTGGATGTATGGCTAACATTACACTGTATATTCTGCATGATTATGATAAACCTCACTTGAAGCACTTCACCTTTACCTTGCTGTGTGACTGTGTGTAGATGTGATGATACACTGTGTGTGGTGAGACTGAGGCCGAAGATACTGTGGAAATTACTCCCAGTGTACCTCATGGACAGGAAAAACCCTAGGAGAAACTACAGGAAGCCACTACTTCATACCAAGTCCTGCTCACGCCCCTCTAACCGACCTATCCAAACGTTCCCCTCCTCATTCAAACTTCATTTCCCACAATGCCGCAGCGCTCGCCCTTGTCAAATCCTCACTGTGAGTCAAGCTAACTTCCTCGGGTCGCTGTCAGGAGTTAACTGTAGAAACAACAGCATGGACGATGTCAGTCACTTGAAGTCACTATAGGGCTAATGAATTTGAGACATGTGTGGAAGACAGTGCCTTCAACACCACGGAACATTTTATCAAGACCTAAGCTTGTTACCTCCGCAACGCTGTCGACGCGGGTAACGTTAACATTAACGTTAATGTAGCAGTAAGCTAACAGCTAGCTAATGTTACTTAACCTGCTTTTTGGCTAACTTAGAAACAGCTCCCGAAAACCTGCCAAAGACTTGAAACAACGCACCAAGTGAGGGATATAAAAGCATCAGATATCTTCGAGCTGGTGTCAGATTTGTAAGGTAAGAAATGTTGTTTGTATGAAGTGACAACTAGCTGGCTGTTTTGTCAGTGCACAAGTTTGGACAAGCCTGGTGGCTGGTGCACATCAATCCAGTGAGACAGAAGGAGAAGCGGGGTGATTGTGTTATGAATGAATGTCTAATTGTAGAGTAATACTGCTGAATTGTTTCCACACCCTGTTTATGGTTATATAGCGTGAGCAGAAATATTCTGATAACAAAGATATCACATGCCAAGGAAAATGGTAGCTTATGGGATAATATGCTGTTACTAAACAACAACCTAACATAAGAAGATAGACAAAACAACACCTGATAATATAATTCAGTCCACTATAGCAGCACCACAAAGTCAGGATTCATCTAAAATTGACACATTTAATTTTGAGCTGAAACAGTCGATTAATCAAATAGTCAGTCGGCAGAAAAGTAGTATTGTCAAGCATGAAGGCTACATGTGAGTAACGTTATGTGCTACCTTAATCTGTTTTACAGATTATTGAATTTATTTGGGTTTTGGACTGTTGGTCTGACAAAACAAGCAATTTGAAGATGTAACCCTTGGCTAAAAAAAAAGTTTGAGCACTCTTTTCTGACATTTTGTCAACTAAACAATTTATTGGATACATGATTTAGTCAAAGCCCAGTGCACTTCATTACAATTATGGCTGTTCTAATGGAGTGAATTGGATAAAGTGTTCGAATTGTTCATCCTTTATCCCCACACACAGTTTCTGTCATTTTCAGGCAGTTATTGTTATCTTGACACATGAAACGATGCAGATTACTGATACACTGATATTTTACCGGTGTAGGTAACCCAGCTGAAAGGGCAGGTTGTTCACTGAAGTTTCTCATGAAAAACAGCTCAGCACACAAGAAGGTACTTCTGGGTTTTTAATTAAAATTATTAATCAACAGGGACAGCTCTGCATCTCCATTGCTGTGTATACTGCATGGGAATGAGGTATTGGATCATGGATGAAAAGTGGAGGGGGAACTTGAAATTGCAGCCAAGCCTGAGGCACACCAAGCACACATAATAAGTTAACAGACAAGAACAAGGAACTGTAAAATGATATGCATGGGGAAGGAGGCTCCTGGGAGGGGTGAGGGCTGGCTTGGGAGTAAGGACAGTGGGTGAGGTGAAAGGGGACGCATTAGGGGTCTAAGTGCTCATTTGAGGATCGGGCTTGAAGACCTGTTGTACTGATGCCAATATAAGTTTCCCATGATTACCCAGCTTTTCAACAGACCCTTTGTTCACTCTCTCATCTCTTGGCTTTCTCTCTCCATTCTTGTTTTACTTGATTGTCCTTTCTGTGGCTAAACTCCTTGAACTCTGATGTGTCTAAGTGGACTCTTTTTCAATAATGTATTTTTTTAATATAGCAAATATTCAGTATCTACTAGTTCCTTGATTTGAAGCTGGATTAAGCTTCTATATAGTGAAGTATTAAAACTAAAAGGTGCCATCTTTTTTTGTGGCTGCACTTTAACATTCAGTAGAATAATCTAGTGCTGAAACAGCTAGGTAATTGTGTAGTGTATTAACAGATCCTGCATTTGTGACAATTGATTAACTATTTTAGTAACTTATCAACTTAAAATAATATTATTTGGCTGAGCCGTTATTTGCTTTTTGCAGACATATCAGTATGTCAGTAAATGGTTGTAGTACAGAAAAGATACATTATCAATACTTTGATCTTTTTTTACTGTACAAAAAAGAATAAGATTATAATTTATTTATATTTTCAATATAGGTAAATATTGTCTCTAGAACAGAAACAAAGTTGTTTACAACACAAAATGTACTAAACACAACTCAGTAACATCTCCCTGGAAAAAAAAAAAAAATATATTCCTGACATCAAAACAAAAACAATTAGTAACTATTTTTGCTATTGTGTAGATTGGATGTGTGAAAAAAATCATTACAAAAAAACACTTGCCAACTTGTACAGATTCTCCTGCAATTCACGTTTAACGTATTTTGAATTGTGACTGCAATTTACAGTAAAGTTGGTTTGAACCTGAACGGTGCTTGGCTGTGAAACGTGTGCAGTATGTAATAATCTACCAGTGAGCTTGTGGGGGTCGAAGGTTGCATGAATAAGTGATTTATCCAGTAAAATGATGACCTTATTGATAAACATGCAGATGTATTTGTTTGTAAAGGTAGCGAGATTGCCTTAGATAATGCTCTACTCATTCAAGTCTTCATTGACTACAGAGGCAATAATGTCCTGATTGCAAACTGACAGTGATCTAATATGTTATGTTGGCAAAGGAGGGGCTTCAGTGGTGGTGTTTTTTTGTCAACCTTTGACCTACAAGTCCTCAACTCTGTCCTTCAAGAGATATCTTTGCGTATAACTTTCTGTAGTTCTACTTTGCTCAGTGTCTTTATATATCTTTCATTAGCAGTTGGTTAAAGGTAAGTGGATTATTCTGTAGGTAAATATTTACTACAGTGTGTTGTTTTTACAGTTTCTTGGTTAAAGATAAGCACCATTGCCGTCACCACAGGCTGACGGGACACTGCTTTAGTCAGCAATGCAAAGAAAGTACTACATTAGAATATGTTTCTCTGCCTACAGGTCTACAGACGTCTAGATTAGGGCTGGGCGATAAAACAATAATGATTTCCAATCATTATCCCAATTTAATTTTCCTCAGTAAAAATTACAAATGTTCAATAAATGTTTGATTTAATTAATTTGAATCATGAACGAAACTTATTTATTTGTATTAATGTATGTATTTATTTTGTTAAGGAAAAGAGACTGAAAAGAGATTTTACTTTATTTTACCAATGCATAAATGGATGCATAAAGGATTTTTATTAAATGTTTTGAAAGTGATCCACTGTTTGGCAAGTGTGTCTTAACCGCAGAGATGTGTTATTTTATATTCAGGCTGAATTTGAACCTAAAACTGACTTTTGTTTCTCTCTCCAACCCTTCCCTCTACTCTGTAGCTCTCAGTGCTTGGTGTTGCGCTGTCCCCCCACTACCCTGGTGGTTGAATTCATGAGCACGCTCACTGACGGCTGTTCGTAGTCGTTGGGGATGGGGAATGGAGTCCAGGAACAACGGACATCACTCACACAGGGAGATGTGCTTCCACTGGCTTCCTCCAGTCAGTCAGAAGTGAGCTATGAGGTGAATTTTTAGTAATTTCTTTAAGACATGATACTCAAAAGGAGCAAATCTGCCTGAAAATGTATTCCTTGCGTTTTTTGTCTTTTTGCTGCTCAGTTTTAATCTGTGCATTTGAATGATTTGTGTCTTTTAGAGAAAAGCAATAGAGCTGCTCAATTGAAAGCGAATACTCATAGCAGTCGTGGTGATTTTCTAGTTTAGAGGAATTCTCTCAAACAAAATCTCAAGGCATCTGTAAGACCAGGGTCTGAAATTAACCCTTTTCACTGCGTGCCACTGTGGCAGGTAATTTGTTTTGTCTGCCACTTTTGAAATGTATGCATTTTGTATTAATGTATTATTTAATGTAAATAATGTTGTTATTTGATGTTCAAGACATTTACACAAAATGTTTGCGTGAATAATAATTTCACAGAAAGATAATTTGAGAGTCAAGTCATGGCATGAAATAATATCAGGTACCGACAGACGACAAGAAACAAAAGGTCACCACAGTGTATTATACAATCACTACTTAATACAAAACCCACAGTTCAACCACCAATGAATGCGTCCTTATCTGAGTCCACATCTCAACAAAAACCTCCTTCTGGATCCCAGCAAGCAAACCATAAATACTCAGTTTCAATAGAAAGGTTGTCCAACAGGAAAAAAAGTGACAGCTCTTGCGGCTAATAGACAAGCTTAGTGATTCACCAACAACACTGGAGTTACCTCGTGTAGTCCTGCTGGTGCTGCTGGCAAGCAGCGCACTGGCGGTCACCGATTGGGCCTCTTTCAGACTGGTGAGTTTGGTTTGAAACGTCATAGATATTCCCTAAGCTGACTGGTGGCTGTGTGTGTCTTGTTTATGACTCAGGCGCATGCGCCGATCGCCACACCACACTAACCTTACCACGTGTGTCTTGTTGTGCATGTAGTGACTATGTCCTATACTTAGCCGCTACTGGTTGCTGATTTGGATTATTGTTTCTAATATGTACTCAGAAAAACGATGTCCAGTCTTTTCCAGTAGTTTGCAGTTTAAGGCGTTTTATTTCCTGCGTCCTTACAGCACCCACTTCCAATAAATAATAAGTCGTATAAAGTAAAATAAACAACATAATCTGAGCACAGTTAAAAATGGTTTACTCCTGCTCTTCAATTAACAGCACCTGTTTGCATCAGTACAGGAACGTAAATTCCTTGAGGCCAGGTAACACAATGCTATATCATGCCCCCTGTGGCTTGGAGGAAAACAACCCATATGGCTCCTACAGTGCATTTTCCCTGTCTGACAAAGTGGTAGATGGCCTGATGATTGTACCCGCTACTGCCAACAATTTGCCAAATATAACCAAAGAGCAACTATTGCTACGTCAGAGTGTCACCTAATGATTTGACTGTCAAAATTCACTAAAATATCATAATTTGATTCTTCCACAGTTTTATTTTTGTGATTAGCTCCTGTCAAGGGAACCTGAAACTTTGCTTCATAATATGGAGAAAATATGTCATTATCTGGTAATCTTCAATCGCAGAATCATAGTGGCATCCTAATGCTATTTCAGTTTGTGTGTTTTATGTGTTTAATGTGAAAGACATTAACTGAGATGCGTTTGTAGTGTCATAGCCTCTTCTCTGCCTTTGGTTAATTTAAGGACATCTGCTCTTTGTAAGGTTTCAGGAGCTGCTTAGTCAGATGTCATCTATTGTCCTTATATAACTCCGGTTTAATGATCGACAACATCTCAAACATAAGTTTGTTCACACAAGGATGGAGTTTTTACAGGATTCTGTATGTGTTGGTGACCCTAAATGTGATTCCTCCATCGCTAAGCAGGACCTGAAGTACACTCGGTCTGTCCTCAACACGCTCTTCTCGGGGGCTTTAGCAGGAGCTGTGGCCAAGACAGCTGTCGCCCCGTTGGACAGGACTAAAATCATTTTCCAAGGTAAGTGGGATGCTCTGCTGACCTAAAAGTGGAAACTGTTTTTAGATTAAAAATGACCCACATGGATGCCATAGACTTATCTAGAACGGTTATGAGTTAACGCCGTTGCTTTTTCATTCATAGCATTGGGAATATTAGAACATGTCACGAGAAACACTGCACACATGTTATTTATATTGTACATATATTTTGTTTTTCAGTGTCTTCAGCAAGATTCTCTGCCAAGGTAGGTTTGATGACATATTTAATGTCCGTTTCTTGGTAAAACAATTGTCTGATTCTCATTCATTCAAATTTAACATATGCTGCGTGTTTTTTTTTGAATGATCAAGTTTAAGTCACAGAATCTATAAAGTCGAACTTGCGTAAACTTTATAGATTCATGCAACATACATTTATTGGCATATTAGTTTTCAGTCTGACCTCCAAAGAATATATCACAGGAACATGTTTAAAGAGAGAAATCTAAACAAGAGTAGTGAAATCAAACTGAGTGTGATTGTGTTTGTGTGTACAAACAGGAGGCCTACAGGTTGATCTACCGCACCTATCTGAAGGACGGCTTCTTCAGTCTGTGGAGGGGGAACTCTGCCACCATGGTGCGAGTCATCCCATATGCTGCCATCCAGTTCTGTGCACACGAGCAGTACAAGAGGCTGCTGGGAAGCTACTATGGCTTTCAGGGGAAGTAAGTGTCAGTTTGTCCTGGTAGACCTGCTTCTCAGATGTGGACTTTATCTTGATGTTTTGTTTTCTTGAAAATGAAAAATGTGAAAGGCTGATATACATGCAATTGTTTTCCTCTGTGTTCCAGAGCTCTGCCTCCAGTTCAAAGGTTACTGGCTGGGTCTATGGCTGGTACCACAGCCACCATGCTGACCTATCCTCTGGACATGGTGCGAGCTAGGATGGCTGTAACGCCAAAGGAAATGTAAGGTCATCTTTAGCTATCCATACACAGTCATCAGTGGGTATTTGATAACACATGTACCCACTGACAGTAGCACTACAGCAAAACAACATGAAGGGCTCCATTGGTGAGTGTTTTGCTACAAGGTTCAGATTTAGGAGGAAATGTCAACACAGCAGCAAGTATTTTTCTATCAGGTCTCTGATCTGTTAGGAATGATGCTCCTTTCATTGACACTCAAGTCATACAAGGCCTCGAATATTAGCAAGTATTCATTACTAAAGACACAATAGGTGGTCTTAAAATGTAGGTGAAACAACCAAAATAAATTCAACTCAAGCTGTTTTTAATAAATACCTCTGTGGTGGGATAAAAACTTGAAAAGGATGTTATTTTTGAAAGCCACTATGCCATAATCGGTTCCATGCTCATATTTGTTTGTTTATGGTGCCCCCCCGTTTAGGTACAGCAACATTCTGCACGTGTTTGTGCGGATATCCCGAGAAGAGGGCCTGAAGACGTTGTATCGAGGCTTTACTCCCACCATGCTGGGTGTTGTGCCCTACGCTGGTCTCAGCTTCTTCACCTATGAGACGCTGAAGAAACTACATGCAGGTAACGCACTACCCACTGCCAAGTTTAAATGTATTTATCTACAACCCCCTTTTTTTCACACCTAATGTTTATGTTTCATATGGAAAATAGTTGTTGACTGAATGGCACTTATTTATATCCCCCTTCTCACCTGTAGAGCGCAGTGGACGCTCGCAGCCCTACTCATATGAGCGCCTGGCGTTTGGAGCCTGTGCAGGTCTCATCGGCCAGTCGGCGTCTTACCCTCTGGACGTGGTACGACGCCGCATGCAGACCGCAGGAGTCACGGGTCACACGTACGGCACCATCCTGGGCACTATGAAGGATATTGTGTCTGAGGAGGGTGTTATCCGTGGGCTCTACAAAGGTCTCAGTATGAACTGGGTCAAAGGACCCATTGCGGTGGGGATCAGCTTCACCACTTTTGACCTTACTCAGATTCTCCTGAAGAAGCTGCATCAGATGGGCTACACGGCTCGATAATAGCGATGCAGAGGGACAAAAATAGGGATAGTGGGGTGACAAGATCCCTATAAACAAAACAACAGAGAAGGTGAAAGAGTGAAGAGTGTGAATTGCTGGATAGAAACGCAAACGCACTCTGGCTCAGGATGCGTGTGTAATATTAATGTATTCTCTCGCTTTATCTGTGTGAAACGGGGAAGTACGGTCCCTGTAGAAGTGAGGTATGTTGGATGGGCCTGTTTACCTGTACACACTGTTGTCATGTACATCAAAGTGCAATATGCTTTTATGTATGTACACATAAATTATAATGCCTCATGGACAAGGTCTGTGAGTGTATTTGTCAGTCAGAGAGTTTAGAGGTTCACACGCACACAAACATACTTTGAGGTCTCCCAGCTGCTTAAAACTGACGCCTTCCAATGCAATGCAGGTTGCCACTAATTTACTAGCGAACTTTAAAATACATTTGCTTTAATAAGAGTAAAATATGTCCCCTTGAGATTTGTTTGTGTGAGCAAGTATACCAAAGTTTAGGATATGAGCTAATTGCAGATTATGGGGTGTTTATAAAGTATAGTAAAGCACAATCTTGCCCAGCACAGAGGTTTAAAGTCCAGTATTTTTTAGTGGAGGTCTTAAAGATTGAATTCACAGACTTTTATTTGTAGTTTATCTACTGTGCTGACAGCAGACAGATGTGCTGTATTGTATGCCAGTGCCAACAGATTTGAAGTTTAAAGAGTGCCCATATTATTTTGTTTGTTTTTACTGTAATCACATAATGGGCTTTTTAAAAAATATTATAGAGTTTAGTTGTCTGTAATATTAATGGTGATAATTAGACAGAAGTTATGCAGAAGGATTTCTAAAGTTGTTGAGCACAACAGCTCCAGTTTAACCTCCTGTTGACATACAGCCCCATGTAAAGCAAGCAATTTGATAGGTCATTTTCCAAATGTGAGATCATAAACACTGATTTAATGGTTTAGGAGGAACACATGTTCAGTCTAATGTAATCCAGTACAACAGCCCTGCAATGAATACTACCTTAATGAAGTTTACAATGTGCTGTTGCTGACTCTAGTGTGTGAGAGGTGTGGCTTTAACTCCGGTAATCTTTTAGTGGTATTGTTTTGGATTACAATATATTGAGAGGTGTTTTCTAACTTCACTGAAATGGACACACACACACATAGTCATATATTCAGTATACACATGTTGTCTTCCATTAGCTGTTGGTAGGACAGCTGCAGTGTGATTTGTTTAAAACTTGGCGAGACACTAGAAATAACTTCACAACAAGGGTGGATTTAAATCCCATTGTAGAGCTGTAGCAGTATTTGCTAACGGACTAGCTTGAATGGAAATATGCACACACTTCCTGAAGATATGATTTGAGTTCTCTGTTACAGGCATAGTTCAGCACATTTTAGCGTTCTCAGTATTGTAAATTACCTCAGCACATTATGAAATGGGAATCTCACATATCAATGTTTTATGTCGAGTAGTGTCAAAAATGGGAGTAAGTGCTCAGTTTTCATTTGACCTTGTGCGAGACCGTTTCAACAGTATTGCTGCAGGCCTACCGTTGTTGAAGAGTGTCAATAGTTTCTATATTTGGAGCACACGTACTGAGGCAGGGTGTTTTAGCTGGGGGAGCTGGATGCAGAGCCAAGTGGAACAGAGAGCAGAAAAGTGTCACTTTATCAGAATGAAGCAGGAAGCTTTCTCTGAAACAGGGGCAAGGATCTCAACTGACACCCAATAGTCAGTTTAAAAAAAAAATCTATGACGCTCCCAAAACAAAACCCTGTTTTATTTGTATTAAATAAACTCTACTAGGACTTTTCATTATTGATCAATCTCTATAAATTTATCAAACAAAATGCCCGTAATTATTAGAATAATGCCTTAACATTGCTTACGTGTTCTGACCAGCCGACAAACAACCCCAAATATTCATTGTATAAAGATCTACGGTAAAAAAGCAACTTTTTGTAATTGATTATTTGTTTTTGTCCATTAACTAATCAATTTATCAACTTCTTTTTCTATTATTTCTGTTCAAGGACCCTGGTATAATTTTCTAAATTATAAATGTATTGATTCTGATGCTTTAGTTTTTGCACCAGTACCACCAATACGTTTTTCCTGATATCTTACGCCACTTATTTTTTCATTTAATAGGCCTAACTTCTCAAATGTTAAATGTGTCTAAGCACAGGCAGCTTACAGAAACATTTAATAAACTAGAATTATGATTTAAATCGGGAACTGTCTGATCAGAGAGTAAGTGAAGAAGAGAACGAAGCTGAGCAAGCATTTGTTGTCGGCTATGATACTCACTCCTAGGTATTGAGAAGTATTGCTATTAGACACCCGGCCCCATCCAGTAGGCTATTCCACTTACACTTGACCCCTGTTCATTAAACTCTGCTTTCCCCTGGCCTGCCTCAGTCAAACCATCATCATTTATCTGCGTCGTTTCTGTCTGGTCATTGATTGTTTTCCTCATTATCCAGTGAGTCAGGAGAATTGTAGCAGCGCTCTGGTAACCGATACTTATACATAGTCTGATCTTAATTCTAATCAGTAGATGGTGGAGAACCACGATGCACTCAGATTAACAGCAGATGCAAGTTCAGTATTTTAATGTCTGTTATCTTTACCCCCTGCTTTAGTTAGCAGGAGGGAAATATGTGTAGCCGAGTTTAGATCAATGACTGAAACCTGCACATGTTCTGAGCTGAAGCGAGTGCAGCGTAGCAGAAAGTGCACAGTAACTGAAAGCGAGTGAAAGTGGTTACTGACTTTTAAGTGCCTAGCAAAGAATGGTAATGTTTTTACTATGACTTCAGCTACTTCTACTAGCCTTTTTGAAGTTTGCTTCCATTCTCTAGCCTTGCTTCAGGCTTGAAGTTAATATTTAAGGGGCAGCAGATTTTTTTTGAAGGCGGTTTGAAGTTTGGGGATTGTTGGACCTCTGTGACTGAATGTATTACTTCAGGTCCAGTTTTTGTATGTGAATTTTGTAAAACTGCCTTGCAGGGAATTGCCGTCTAGGGTGAGAGACACGAACCTTGGCTCCCTAACAGACTCAACCAATCCTTTCCAACCAATTTAGGACTAATTTGTGGAATTTAGGAAGAACTTCAAAGTACATTTAATGGTTATTTGTACCCTTATTTTAATTGAAAGAATGTAAAGAGTACTACAATGTTATTTTACCCCAACTGCTATACCTATATATCAAAGGAGATGGGTAAATACAAGATGAAATACACTATAATAGGGAGAGTTGACAAACCCCTGACAATCATGAAATGCCAAAAAATGTAACGTTTTTGTTATAAAATAAAAGTACATTTTTTGTTTGAGAACCTGACAGTGGCTTAACGAGGACGAATACTGAAACACTACGACATAAAACTCTGGTAAAAGATGTGATTTTTATTTTTTTTTTAATTTGTACTTGTAAAAGCAAATTGAATTGTTTTAACCCTGTTTGTGGGTAATCCTACATAGACGTGCAGACAATGCTACTGTGTTTGCATGTTCCAGCAGATCATCTTGTGTCGTTTCGTTTCAGTGCAGCAGTGATACAACAGCTGTTTTGTAAATTCCAGTGATTTGTGCCAACTGAATGTACGTATACAGACCTACTAATACCGCAGCCTGTGTCCAGTCTCTAGTGATGATGGTGTTTCTGTGGGAAAGTTTTGAAATATCAAACTCTCAAATAAAACTGGATGTTGACAACAGATTTATGCTTGTTAATGTTTCACAGTTTTTCCTGTCCCTGAATGATGTCTGACTGTACTTGTGGAGTAACTTTTGGCATTAGATCAAAACTTTATACAGTCTCCTACAATATGTCCAGTGTGTCCATATAATAGATTAAATAGAATAGAAAAATAGATATAAAGTGTAAATAAGGAAATAAATACATTGTCATGGACAAAAATGTGGGCATCCCTGCATGTCTGTAACATAATGTACTCTCCCAGAAAATTGTTGCAAGTACATGGTTTGGCATTCCCATATTTATTTGTTTTGTTGTTTGCATTGGAACAACACAAGGAAAAACTGAAAAAAAGCCAAATCTGAGACATTTCACAGATGACTCAAAAATGGACTGGACAAAATTATTGGCACCCTCAACTTAATGTTTGGTAGCACACACTTAGGAAAGAATAACTGAAATCAATCGCCTCCTGTAACCATCAATGTTTTCTTACACATCTGTATTAGAAACCACTCTTCTTTTGCCAACTGCTCCCGGTCTTAGAGATTTGATGAGTTCCTTCTCCCAATTGCTTTGAGATCTCCACAGGAGACGGTAGGCCTGCTGGCCACCTCAGAACTCTCCAGTTCTTCCTCTTAAACCATTTTTGGATGCTTTTTGAAGTATGCTTTGGGTCATTTTCTTGCTGTAAGATCTGTGACCTCCTGATGGAGTGCCAGCTTTCTGACACTGGGCCCTACACTGCACCCCAGAATTCTCTGGTAGTCTTCAGATTTCATAATGCTATGGGCATAGTCAAGACGTCCAGTGCATGAAGCAGCAAAGCCACCCCAAAACATCAGTGAACCACCATCATGTTTGACTTTAAGGCCTAATTTTGTTTTCTGAAAACAGAAGAATGATGTGCTTTACAAAAAGCTCTAGTAGTCTCATTTGTCCACAGGACATTCTCCCATTCTTTGCTTCCTCAGCATCGGGGTCCAACTGGGTCTCCTACCATCGCGTCCTTTTTCATTCAGACGGCGACGGATAGTGCGAGCTGACACTTCCACGCTGTGTCTGCACGTCAGCATGAATTCGATTGACGTTCACGACGTTGTGCACAGTAGACACATGAACATTAAGATCTCTGGAGATTGACTTGTAGCCTTGAGATTCTCCATGCTTTTCCAAAATTTTGGTTTTCAAATCCTCAGACAACTTTCTCTTCTTTCTTTTGTCCATGCTCAGTGTGGTACAAACACCAAAAAGGTTGAGTCAACCTTTCTCCATTTTAACTGCTTGTAAGTGTAATTTCTATAGGTGAGGCCATAGGTGTTTCATTAAAAATTAAAGGAGCATCACATGCTTGAAATTTCAAGATTTTGAAAAGGTGCCAATAATTTTGTCCACGCCATTTTTGGAGTTCTGTATGGAGTGTTTTTTTTAGTGTGTGTTGTTCCAATGCAAACAAAAGAAATAAACATGAGAGTACCAAAGCATTTGTAATTGCAACAATTTTCTGGGAGAAGTAGTACATTATATGACAAACATGCAGGGGTGTCAATATTTTTGTCCATGACTGTTAAAGAAATCAATAAATATTGAAAAATATATTTGTTTTTCATTTATGGCCGCTTCGCTTTTGGGTCGCCACACATAACAAGGAGACACAGTGTGTGTAATTACATCCAGTGACCACAGGGGAACGCTCCATGCCCATGAATGAGTGAGGCTGTAGTTCCAGAGATGGTCGATAGGTGGCGGTGCAGCACGGCGCTGGGTGCTGAGGGGAGGGGAGCTGGGTCAGATGCTGCCGCCTCTCTGCCCGAGGCCTTGCAGGCGTTTTGAACTTGACCGTGAACGCAACACATGACCCCGGTGATGAAACGGAGCAAACTGACAACAGTCCGAATTAATTAAAATGACAGATAATATTTAAATACATCGGGTGTTTGAGATTAGATTTTGATTTATGAGATTTTGTAGAGAGAAAAGAAATCCATATTTTATTAAAATTTGATTTCATGTGAGCGTTTCTGTCTAAATAGCCTATGAGATGAGATATTTGGTTTGATCCAGATTTTCTGTCTTGAACTGGACAGGGAGCTTGGACCAGACTCTTTGTGCACAGATTTCTGGGAATGTGGGAGAAAAAACACCAGAAGAAAAGAGGTATATAAGATAGAAGACTAATTAGAGAGTGAAGGAGGAAGGGAGGGAGGAGGCTGTTAGAGGATGTGGTTGCTATAGATACTTGGCATGATGCCAGGTGGAGGCAGAGCTAATTTGCATTTATTCAGATGATGGCTGCTCTCTTTATCTCTGAAATAAAAGAAGCAAAACAACCATTTCTTCCATTTCAATTTTATTCTTAAGTCAGTGTCCTTTTAAAACAAGTTTTTTTTTTTCATTTTAATGCAAAGCCCAGTAAAAATGCATTAAAAAATCTAACATTAACCTACATAAGCTTGATGAAAAATACATGTGCTTCTCTGACTGTGCCACAAAGAAAAATGGCGTTCTGTTAGAAAACCAAAAAGCTTTTTTATTATGGGAGAGATGATTTGATTTATAAGTTGAAAGCTGTAAAACCAGCCTTTTTTTTCTTAAACAATAACGAACCATTTCTTTTTTTTGAAAATACAAAGACTAAAATTCAGCAAGCCTACTGTATTCTCGGCCTGTAGATAGTTTCAAGTAGTTAAAAGTTAAGCCATGAAAAGATAATGCAGCATTTGTTGTAGATAAAAAGCTCATGTAAAAAAGCAAACTAAAATTTTGCACTTATAGCCTATTCAATATTAGATCTACTGATAAGGTAAGCAGACTTTTTATATTAATTAGCCTCCTTTGAGGAGTCTGGCCTGTGCAGCAGCTTTGTTAGCAAGTGATGGGCCTTTAACTTAACTGACAATAATTTCTTTATTTATCTATTATTTATTTTAAGTCTGAAACCTGGAAGAAAGTCATTGTTATAGAAATCTTAGCAGTGTTAATTTTTACACAATTAAAACTCCTCCTTTACAATTTCCACAACTAAATTACACCTAGACCTAATTTTAAGATTTGTGTCAAAGGTATGAGCTTTTACTAAAAAAAATATATTTAGTATGAAAACTAAATGAATTCATTTGGAGAAAATTTGTCAAGGCCAGTCTTCTCTTTATTGACCATATATACATTTACACAGTATACAAACATAAAGTTGTACAGCAACTCAAATGATTAAAATGACACTCAGTGGGAAATTACCTCAGGGTAATGTTCTATCTGTGACAGCAAGACAGTATGGAGTGATAGTGCCAACTTTTTATTTAAAAAAACCCCGAAACAAAATACTTCCAATGACTGAAAATTATTATTCTCTCCTTCCACAACACACAATAGGATCAATTGCAGCATTTCAACCTGGATGGATGGAGTCACATATCACCTTACACCAATTAACATCATCATTAATATATGTAGAAAATTAGAAAAAGATTATATATCTTAACCCACAAAACACACATGCTGTTAAACAGTAAAAGCCCATTTTAAGGCACAGCTGGTGGAAAATTGTATCTGGTGTCCCTCTTTGTCAGTGTTTTTTCCTTTGAATTTTGAAGTTCAGAGACAAAGCAGTGACTGTCCATCACAAAATGTTTGAGGCTTTCTTTGTGCAGCAGAAACAACAAAAATGGTCACAATGGTCCAGTCCAATCCTTTTCTTTGAGCAAGAAGTTGTTCAGCCAATCATTCTTTCTTCTCACCACATCATCAATCTGCAGAAAGACAAGAAGACAGAGGGAATCAGTGACAGGATTTTAAAAAACCCATAACAAATCTGTCATGTTTTTATAACAGTCAGGATCATAAAGGTGTGATTGACTAACATTTACCTACACCTGAGCTTTCATAGTGAATAATCATATCTATGTGTCACGTCACAGGACTGACACAGCAGTTTTGGACTAAAATGGGAAAAAAAAGGAGGGGTGGGGCAGGTTGAAGGAAAGTAGATATACAGACGTGACTCCCTCCTCATGACTACCAATATCCGTCTGTGTTTGAATCTACACTCGTCCACCTCTGACCTCGGCAGTCTGGAGCGTCAAGAGGACATGCAGTCAGCAGGGAAACCCACAATTACGCCCGAGGGAAAAGACACACACACACCAGACACACTTCTGCTGTCTGGTTTTGCACTGTCATGACTGAACAAGATAAGAATCCAACCAACAGAGATAAGGGATTTAATCCTAATTTGTCCAGACTTTAATCAGGATCATAAATGAAAACCAGTGACAAGAAGACAGACACACTGCCTCTGCATAAGCTTTTGTACACTCCATATACTAATTATTTAGCAAAAGCTTTCTATAAAAGTTAAAATGATTTCAGGTTCTTGGGTTTTAAAGCCCGGGTTTCTTATTTCTCTTACAGACTGATGGACAGTAAAAATCAAGGGGTGTGTGTGTGGGTTGTGAGGAACACCAGAAGGAGGTAGTTGTGATTGAGGAGATCAGAGTTAGACTACAGTCCCTGGATAGAGTCAATGTGCCCAAGACATTGGGCAATTATGAGGGGCCTTCCTGAGCCTGTAGGGCTCTCCAGGGCTCCTCTTCTGCCCACGCTTCCCAACAACTGCCTAATGTATGCATAGGGGACCTACAGTCCAGCACAGTCTCCTCACTACACGCATACCTTTTTAGCACACAGACAGTAACTTGCAAAGAGATGTGTCTTTTAATCTAAATATTTAAGTTTTCCTATTTCAATAAAAAGCGTGAATCAGCGGGGTTAAGGTTGGCGCCTTGGCATGATTCCTGAGACCCTTAAAAATGATGTAACAGTGACAAGAAAATGAGCCAAAAAGAGACACACAGGAGGTCAGAGGATGTGGATGGACCATTTTCAGCATGACTTATTTTAGCATCTTATTCCTTCTCTGCCATCTGTTTTTTCTACTTCCCTCTGTACACCATCATATAATCCTAAAATAACAATATGATTTTTTAATGAAAAAGCAGAGACTGGATCTTTGTGTCCTCCTT